GTAAGCTGTAAGGATGATCCCGAATACAAGAAATTAATTATGGAAATAAGGATGGGTTTGAACTAACTCGAATAGGTGTTAATTGTTAAACGGTCGGAAAAATATTAATGTTTAAAAAATATCTTATTTATTTAAAAATAATAAAAATCTATAACAAAAAAAAGTACGAAATAAATGCATAATATAAGTTTATAGAAAGTTTTCTTTCTTTCTTTCTAAAGTTTTAAATATATATATTGTTCAACAATTCTCATTATGCAGAAATTTAATGTAGTATATCATATATTATGTATATATATTTATCCATACTCAAAAATAATAATAAAAGGTATAACATATTATTACTTTACGTTTCCACTCTGGATAGATAATGTTAAAAGGCGTAAAGCTCTTATAATTAGTTTAGACATAAGCTCTCAATTCCTGAATAAACCTTTTAAAATTAAATAAAGGATGACTTAAAGTGAACATGTTATTGACAAAATCCCCTATATCTTATTATGTTCAGTAATTTATATTTTTTAAAATAAAAAAATACTATGGTTTAGAAACTGGAAAGGAAATGATAATTTCATCGGTAACCAATAATATAATTATGCTAATTTTTAGTTTTCCTGTGTTAGTTAAAATTCTTTTTAATAAAAAATTATTCTTCAGTCGTTTTATACGCAATGTATGCCATATTTTATATAAGGATATGCCTTTATAGGAGGCTTGTGCGATCCTAATGTAAGCTGTGCTATAATTCATCCAACTAATCTTGAGACATCGATAACCATTGGACATGAAACGGGCCATTTGTATTTAACTAATTATTTAAATAATTATCATTCATTTAATGAGATCTCGAAATATTATATAAATTCTCTAAATGCAAAAAATAATAATTAGCAATTTCAATAAACGAGATTTTTGTTAAATAGATTTTTTAGACTCATAACCTTTTTCAGTCACATAGCTTTTAAACCTAATTGCCTCCTCTGGTCTAGTTCGTAGAAAAGGGGCACTATGTGTTTGAAAAAAGACACTATGTGACTGAATGATACGACAATGTTATATCTGGCAAAGAGTAAATGTAAAATTTGTATGTTTCATTAAGATCTTAATGTATTTAAAACAGATTTCGCAGATTATTGTATAAAAAGTGGTGTTTTAATATATCCAATTAAATGATGCAAATTTAATAATTAATTTTAATATAGGCTAGGGGCTGTGCATGATATGGAAAATCAATGCAGCTCTCTAAATGCCGGGGGTATAATGCACTATGAATCAAGATACCCAAGAAGAGCTGAATGGTCCGAATGCAGCGTTCGTGAAATAGGGACACATTTAGGGTAATTATATTTTTTTGGCCCTTATATCACGTTAGTGACATATTTTATCCAAATTGTAAAGGAAATAAGAGACCTATAACGTAAAAATTTTTTGGATATAAGTTAATGATATACCTAAAAAAATAAACCTCTTTTCGCAATATTTTATGTATATTTAAAATAATAAACTTTGGTTTCATTTTTTTATAAATAATAGGCTATCTATGTTAGATTATATATAATATTAATTTATCTTACTGTTTTTTATATTATAATTTTAAAGGGTTTAAATGTTAGAAACTAACCATTTCAATTTCACCAAATTTTATTCTCCCCACACCACCTCCCATATATAGGCAGTAAATTCTTTATTATTGAATATTGGTTTGGTAGCTCCACCCGTCCAAAAACTGTACCAAAAAATATATTTAGATGGAATGAGAAAGCTTTATAACATGTTGTTAATATTATGATTAGCATGAATATATAATATTTATACTGAAACACTTAGAAATTCGATGCAATGTATGGCTAATGGGGATAGCTATAGAGGTTCCAAGTTTTCTGCTCCAAGTTTTGATTTAAACAATGCTTGTCGCTCATTGGGGAATTATAATTTGCAGCTCGAATATGTATAATTAATATATAATGTTAAAATTGGCATATTGATTGATGAATATTTAGTATAATTTTTGTTTATTTCTAATTTTATATTGGCATTTACATATTAAAAATCAAAAAGCTAATAAAATTTAGAGATTATTATGCTAGAATTAAATTTATGAATCCTTTAAAAATACTATTTCATAAACGGGAGTTTTTTTTGACTCATAGAATTATAAAATGCCTAATTTATTTTAAAATACTTGCGGGATAAATACTTTTATTTTATTAACTTTAATTTAAAACAATTTAATAACATTTTTTTAAATTACATAAATTTAAATAAAATACAATGATAAATACTCTACTCACAAATTTTTTCTTACAATTAAATTAATAATTCTAAAAAAAATTTTTTAATTTTTAGAAGGAAGTTATAATTAAAAACTAAAATACGCCCTACCCACATGGTTACCAATATTATTAAGATAAATGATGAAAATAACATTATAAACAGTGTTTTAGAAAAGAATTATAACATACATGAAGGAATAGGAAAAAAAAGGAATGAGATAGGCAATGCCATCCCTAAAATTCGAAGATGTGCCTTTAGACTTAGAACATATTTTATGTCATGTCATTTTCGTTTCCATTTTTTTTAAAAATTATAATTATCTATTTGCTGCCTTTGCCATTATTTGTGCCGCCCTTAAGCAATGCCTAAACTAAAGTAAGCTATAGAGATGGTCCTGGATACAGAGAATTAACTATAGGATCAAGGATGGGTTTGATATGAATCGATGCTAACTGAACGGTTGGAAATTTATTAATGTTTTAAGCTGTAATTACGATATGACACCGCTGATTGATTTTTATATATTGTTAATAATATCAATTTTTCTCTATTAATAATTTTATCTTTAATTCTAATCATGATATATAATCTAAGAATTATTAATTAATAATAAAGAAAAATTGTTCTCATTAAAGGATTTTAAAAATAGATCAGCTGTTAAATCGTGTCGTAGGATCCCATTATGATTCCAGTCAAACTCTATTTCAAAAAAAAACAAATTCGTTCTATTTATAAGCAAATATCTTAGCATCCAATAATTATTTGCAAAATTAGAAGCACGTTAAAATCAGCACTTTCGCGTTCATTCATATCTAAAAAAAATTATTTTTTATAAATTTAAACATAAATAAATTGCATAATATAATAATATCATGTTAGCCGTTGGTATTGATATATTTTTTTTTGTAATGGGATATTGTGAAAAATTATGATTTAAAATAGAATATGTGATTAGATTTTTTTTCTCAGAATTTTCATCCGATTAGCTTCAACGTTTAAATTAAAACTGAACTGAATTAATTAGTGTTATTTAGGTTTTATTTCTGGAAATTGATTAAATTTTAAAGTTTTATATTTTGTTTCTAAATAACTTAGATAGAAATCATTGTCAGAATTTATTATTAATCTCTTGTCAAAAAATATAATAGTTTATTCGTAATTATTTTATTCTGCGAAAGCCTTATTTAAGTCCATTTGAGTTTAAATACGGAGCTGTATTATTGAGAAACTTAATATAAGAATAATTGGCTTGATATTGATAATTTAACTTGCATCAACCCAAGCAAAACTCATCTACTATTAAATGCAATAATTTAAACATACAATTTTTTTTTATCTTTGTTGTAAGAATCAAATAGATCAAATGCATTTTATCTTAACTTTCTAAAATGGGTTGCTCTTGGCTCGCAGCTATATTACTATTTTTATTTTAATATTCTTCTAAAGAATAAAAATTGAATTACTTATTGTAATTAAGCCATGAGAAAGATATATAATCTGAGACTGAACTCTCAGATTTATCTATAAAATAATACATAATAAAATAGAAATCATCTTAGAGTAAAATAGAAACTATTCAGAAAGGAAGCATGATAAGAAATAAATTTCTCAATCAAACTCTTCTTTGGATATAAAGTACTGGTATAAAAACCAGGCAAACCTTTTATTAATTTCATCATTCCATGTGTCAAAAATATTATTGTATCATTTAATAATAATTATTCTTACATTTTAGAAGATGTTGTATCCATTCTATTGCTTCAAAATTTAAAAACGTTTCAAAAAACGCAAGCTATTTTGTCTTTTAATAAATCATTTAAAATGCAAAACGTAAATATGCTCATTTAAACGAATGAATTTAAAATGCATTATTTGCGTTTTGAAACGCAGCGTTGAAGCGTTCAATGTGTGCAATAAGGATAAGAAAATAAAAAAAATTTATTAAAAAATTCAGATTATTTTTAATTAAAAATTTTTTGAATCGAAATCTTAACCATTTTAGAATATTTAAACTTTTTGAAAATAAAAACTTAAACATTTTTAATTAAAATAACTTAAAAACGCGAACGCGTTCATCAAAAAAAATGAACATGTTTACATTTAAAATTAGTCTAAAATAAAAAAAACGCCATTTACCATGTTTTTTCAAAAAAGCAAATTTTATTCCCGAACGCAACAATATCAAATTAAATAATGTAAAATAATATTTAATAGCGAATAAAAAATGCAATTCTAAAATAAGAGAAATCTTGTTAAAAATGTTTATATTTCAATTCGTAAAAACAAATAAAGCTTAATTGATATATAGGCAGAGACCTAACACAAAAATCTTCGACCGCCAAAAATAATTTTAAGAAAATTATTATCCATAATTTGAGGCATATCGAAGCACTGGCATGGGTCTCTCCATTTAGCAGGTGTTGCTGGGTATTTATTCTGCCTTTGATAAATAGTTTAATGGGTAAATTACAAAAATTTATTTAAATAATGATAAAAGGGGAATTAATAATATCCGACGTAAGATATTTTACGAATACCAAAAAAGTTAGTGTTTTATGAGAGGAAATGATTGGCGACCACACTAATTATTAATGAAATGTTTAAATTTTAAAATAGATTTAAAAAATATTTTACACTTTAAAAAAAAATAACAGAGTAATTGCACTGCTATTCGATGTATTTCGCATAATGGGACGTATTACATTCTACCGGAACCACTAAATTTCCTACCTTGCAACCAATCTTCTAATCAATTATCAAGTTCCGAAACCGGAGCAGTACATATACCTTTTTATTTTCTTTAAATATAATTTGTTTTTATTATAGTATTAGAGAGCCTTGATTTTTTCAGGTTAGCTCCGATTCGAGGACAAATTTAGAAAAGTTTGTTCAACCAATCAAATCAGAGTATTTTTTTCAAATATCCAAGTCCAACTAGATCCCATCCAAAAATCCGAATACATCCGAAATAAAATTATGTTTGAAAAAAAACGATATTAATAAGAAAGCGGTAATAAGCGCATAAAAAAATATAAAAAATTGGTGTTTTCTTGAAAATAACATTTATAAAAACATTAGGAAAACAGGATTTAAATATTGTCGAAGTCTGCGTCAGGCTCACCCTATTCTAAATAATTTTAAAAAGTCCAATCCGGAGTCTGATAGAATGCTTAACTGAGCCCACCGACTCGAGAAATTTCTGTTTCCCGGCCTCAGGATCCCTGAGCTTATCATTCTTTTAATCTGACATGAATTGGTTCGTGTATGTCTCTTATACTTATATACAAACGTATTAGTTTGCGTTCATTATTAATTTTAAAAGAATCAAATCTTGAATAACTTTAAATATAAATCTTATATCCATTTTATCATTTCTTTTTTTACAAGAAAAAAACACATCTTTTAAAAAAAAATTGGTAAAATATTTTATGTAAAAAAGTTTCTTTGCTTTCGACAATGATTTTAATATTTAACATCGCGATGCGAACATTAAGAGATGCTCGAAAAAAATTTAGCCTCCAACTATATTGAAAAAACTTGGCTATGCCATTTGGGTAATTAGGTTAATAATATATAAAAAAGAATGAAAATATATATATTATAAATATTGGCCTTCTCATCCAACAGGCTATATAGGAACTTACCCCAGTAATAATTTAATTTTTTTTGTCATATGCAGGAAGATATAATAAATAAGTATTAATGTTACATTCTAATTTTTAAAAGATATGCTACAAGGGTGTCTGTATCTTAAAATCCAATTTACAAGAAAAGGCCGGGGAGTGGAGTTCCTGGTCGTCTTGGTCAGCGTGTCAAGGCGATAACATAATAGGCTATGCTACAAGGGATAGAAAATGCGATAATCCAAAGTAAATAATACTTTTCTTAAAAATTTTATGAATAACATTTTTAAACATCTTCAATTAATAGATTTATTGGTTTAACTGCACACATTGATTAGAATTTAACATTTTCTGCTACTCGTCAAAAGTTTCCAAAATTTTTGATTCGTAATAACTGAAAGATATCAATTGAATTTATTTGAAATCAGAGATCTGCACAGCCCAGGCCGAAGCTTGGGAGCTAATTAGGCCTCGCTATTTTACGTAAAAAATTTTTAATGCACATATATAATTTTTCTTTCATAAAAATTATTATGGGCTGGGCAACTTATAAATTTTTATACCTATTTTATAAGTTTAAACAAAAAATGTTAAGATAAAATAAATAAAGAGCCAAAGCCAATCATATAATTTTTTTAAAGTGGCAAAAACAAATTTAAAATTCCATAGGCTAGCGGGATGGTTAAACCTTTTAAAACAAGGAAAGACGAGTCATAAATTTACCAATTGCTAAACTCAAGAGTGGAGCTCTGTAAATTCAAATTTCCCAGATGGGCCAAACTTTTTATTTATTTTCAAGCTCTAGGTCTCTAATTTTTATCATTTTTGGCCTGTTGAATCCCTCGTCTTTATTTCTGTGCGGAACGCACAGAGCGGGGACTATCGCAGTATCTGTTTATCAGTTATAAGGGCCGCTGGCTAGCTCGGGTATAATACTTGAGAGTTCTGAGGTGGGGAGAATACGTTGAGAGGATAGAGAGCCCAGGTTTATGGCTTTTACTATGATGGAGAAAGGGTGGCGTCTAGATTAAGAGAATTTACAACTAAATGAAATGACACAAGTCAGGTAAGATGTTTTTATTCTTTCAATATATATAATACATATGTCGTCGTAGGCACAACGTAATATGAAGAAATTATATTCTAGTTAGAGGTTTAGATGTAAGTATAATTTAATTAAAATAAATTAACCCCAAAGAAAAGTTAGCCGCTTCCCAAATATAAAAAAAAAACTCCTCTATTTATACTATTTCTAAATATTTATGTGTACAAGTTATCTAACAAATAGCATAATGTAAATATACATAAACGAGCGAGATATTTTGTGTATAAATTGTTCAGCCAATCCGACTGCTCGGGGCACACATGATAAGCAAAAACATAAATATAATTAAAATGATGTAATTATTTGATTATTTTCCACTTAATTAGTGATACAAAATTGCTCTCCTAGCCAACTCCAAACTGTTTAGCCGGGATTTTAAGCAAAAATATCGGTTCGTCTTGGAACGCGAATCAAAAAAAATTAGCTCAGTATGAGTGCAAGCCGAAAAAATTAGTCTGTTTAGTCTTCAAGTGCGAGCCGAAAAAAATTTCAGCCTTATAATACTAAAAAAAATGGCTAAAGCCTTGGAGATTGAGCTGAAAAAATCTGTTTAACCTTAAAGCGCGTGTCGAAAAAATGGCCCAGTCTTAGAGACAGAGGCGAAAAACTGGCTCAGCCTTAAAATACGATTCTAAATATTCGGGTCAGCCTTGAAGTGCCCGCCATAAAATCGATTCGCGAACCGCTTAAATTTTTATTTTAGAAATTAATACAATGACAATGAAGTAGATATTTTTGATCCTGAACCTGATAATTATATGTTATTCCAAAATATAAATCTATCAAGATAATCAGTATATTAAATTTTTTATAAGCCGCTAAAAATTGGAACTTAATAATTATAGATTTGTTAATATATTTGACTATTTTTTAAAATAAAGGAACATTTTGTTGGTTTTGGGAAAATTAATCTTGAATTCGATATTAAGTATTAATGAACTTTTATTAAAAATGACTATGACAATTGATTGGCTATTATGAATTTTTTTTTAAAGTCTTTAACTACTAATTTTTTCTAAATATTGATAACTATTTGGAATATTTTCAATTTTTTCCTATTTTAATTAATCATTTTAAACTTTTACATATTTTTGAAGTAAATTGGTAACAAAGATGACATGCCATTAATTGTGTGGTTGAACAAGGTTTAAAATGACTAATAATAATTGTCCCTTTAGCATTTCGGAAAAAATTGAAAATATTCCTAAATAAAAATAATTATTAATATTCACAAAAAATTATTAATAAAAGATTTTTTTTAAAAAATTATAAGTAGTCAATAGTCATCTTTAATATAGGTTCATTCATAATTTACACATTAAGTAATATTCTCAAATAGGAAAATTTCCTATCAATATTTTGTTTTTCTTAGAAAATAGTCAAATATAATAACAAGTCTATAAGAGTTTAATTAATATTATTAGGTTCCAATTTTGAGCTACTTGCATGAAAATTTAAATTAACACACTGTCTATCTTGAAAGATTTACATTTTGAAAAATATATAATCTCAGATTCAGGGGAAAAAATATATACTGCCATTATATTAATATTTAATATAAAAATTAAAGCGGTTCGCTAAGCACTTTTATTCTGGCACTACAAGGTTGAGACGATATTTCAGGCTCGCGCTCGAATGCTGAGCTCTTTTTCAGCTCTAGCTTCAAGGGAACCGTTTTTCTGCTAGCACTCCAAGGTTGAGCCAATTTTTTAACGGCCGGCGTAGCAAGGTTAAGCCGGTTTTTTCAGCTCTCATTCCAAAGCTGAGCCGATTTTTTGATTCACGCTCCAAGGCTGAGCCAACTGGAATATGCTAGCGTTGATGTGTTTTTTCTTACAATGTCTTATTTTTTGAGCTCATTTTTAATAATTTAAAAATCTGATTTTACCGGAAATGTATGCCGTCAAGTATGGAATATTTACACTATGAATTTCAGACAATCTTTCCATGAACTTTTAAACTTACTATAATTTATAATGAATTTTCCATATATTTTTTATATAAATTATAAATGACTCAAAGGTTAACAGCAAAATTGCCTACAATTCATTAGAAAGTTAGTTATTCCAAACATGATAGAATATATTTACGGTAAAATCCGATAATTAAATTTTAAAAAATGCGGTCAAAAAATGATTCATTGTAAAAATAACACATTGAGGGAAAAAACACATTGAGGGAAAAAAACACATTGACCCTAACATATATGACACAGTTGTTACTAATGTCTTTTAATAATAAAAAAAAGTATGTATTAACTTTTATAAAATAAAATACGTTTACCATTTGTGATGACCAACTAAAAAATATAAGTTGTGTTAAATACAACAAGAAGCCCGGCACGTTTCAAATTTTGAAAAATAAATTAAAAGCATTTTTATAAAGTTAAATAAAATTAAAATTCTAAATAGCTTTGTTAAGTGTAATTGTAATTTTAGGGCTGACTTTAAGGGTTCTAGTGGGGAGATATGAATAACATTTACCAATTACGTTCTAATAGTAAACTCTCCATTTGTGCATTTCATTTCATAAAATATACAATGTCAAAAAATTATTATATAAAAATTAAAGAAAATCTAATAAGTGAGGAAAATAGAAAGATGACAAACAAAGGTAAAAAAATTAATGAAATATAAAAAATATTATAATGGAGAAAAGAGAAAAATTTAAGAAAGATGACAAGAAATAATATATAAAGATGAAAAATAGAAAATAAATTATTAAATGACAAAAAAGTACATAAAATCGAAGAAGGATCAGAGGGAAGAGAAAAATTGAAGATGGTATAGGGCAAAGATAAAATATCAAAAATGAAATGAGAAAACAATAATTTGCAGAAAAATGATAAAAATAGTTTTAAAATGAAATAATATTAACGAGAGATGACAAATAAAATTTTAAAGGAAAAAAAGATTAAAATAAATTCCTTACAAAAAATTGGAAAAAAAATGATGAAGAATGGCATTTTGATATAATTTGAATAAAAATTTCCCTTTTTTCATTGGACCTTTTCCTTTTTTTCTTTGTATCTTTTCCTTTTTTTGATCGTACTATTTCTTAAGCTTTTGACATTTTTCCTTTATCTGTAGTACCTTCTCTCTATTTGAGGAACTGTCACTTTTAATTTTCCTTTACGATTTCTGAGACTTCATTGTTTCGATAATATTGAATTTATAAATAATAATTGTTCATTTTAATTTTGGTACCTGCCATTTTATTAAGTGTTGTGTGTTGTTAATTCATTCCACCCCCTCCAATATTTTATAAAATATAGGTGCACTTTTAATTTCCCCCGCATGTTATTATCTACATTTATTATTTAATTATATTATTTTTGCTAATATTTTTAAGGCAGGAATTCGGTGGACTTTACTGTCAAGGAAATAAAATCGATAAAAAAGTGTGTAGAAATAAGGTAATTATTATATTATATTTAGAATAGATATTTTATTATCAAAATACATTTAAATTAAAAAAAAAAAATAGGTTGATAGAAATAATCTACAAAACAAGGCTATCTGCAGTAAATACGACAGATCTTCAATTTATAGAGCATTTGGTATTATTTTATTCCTATTTTGATTATAAATATATTTTATTTAATCTTTTATACAAAATATAGATGCTCAACCATGTGTTCTATTTTGCTTTGTACAATCCAAAAATATCAACATGAATATTGGGAAGGCTGTCGATGGAACAATCATTAAAACTGAAGACTCCTTAGATATGTGTCTTAACGGCGATATTATTGTCAATTGAATTTAAAATATTTTAACTTTACCACAATTTTAATGTTTCACACCTATTTTATTTTTATTAATAGTAATCGATCCCCTCACCCCACACCCTCCTTAATAAACTTAGATAAAATAGTCATTCAAAAAAAATTCCAAGGGAAAAAAATTGTTAGAAAATCCCCCCCCCTTCCCCTCCCTCTCCACCACACTAGATTATATAAATAATAAGATAGATCTTGTACAAAAAAAGGTCAAATTATAAATATTCGATTCGTGCTTTAATAAAAATTATATATATAATATTAAGTTGGATTTAAAAAATTATTACATTCTTACAATATGGAGGAATAACGTGCGCATCTCTGTAGGGAACACCCTAATTTAGCATTGCAATTTTGCATACTCAATTGTTTATATTTAATATATTTTAACATTCGGTTATCCAATCCTTGCAGAGCTATTATAATGGGGAAGAGGTAACCTTCTAAAGCGTCCTTGATTTAAAAAAAAAATATTAATAGTAGATTTTATATCTATTTTCTTAAAAAATATTTAATTATTTAATACACCTTTTATAATATTAATCAACTTCCGTCTAATCATAATTACACTATAAAAATTCCTTGGTTAAATACATTTATAGTTGAATTTCAACTTTATTTTGTATTTCATCCATAAAGATAAAGGCTTCAATATATGATACATCCATTTCCCAATATTTTTTCTATCATAATTAAACAACTTCAATGCGGAAGTTGTTAAACATGAGCAGCTGAGATTGAGAATTAATAATAAAGTTTAATTAATGAAATTGTATTTGAAATCAATATTTATTTATTTTAGCCTATAGGTTGTGATGACCAGTTTTATTCTATAGCCAAAAGAGACAAATGCGGTATATGTAATGGAAATAATTCTCAATGTGTTACTTTTGAAGTTGAAAAGAAGATAGATTTAACAAACGGTAAACAATATTGTAAAATATTTTATAAATTATATTTTATTCTCATAGTCAGATTGTCGGAAAATAAAACTACTTGAAAATAATTAAATAAAAATATTTTAATTGTTTAATTATAATTTATATATATAAAAAGCCTATGCTAATCAAGAGGGGTAGAAAGGGAGGGGGGGGCATCATAAAAAAATTCCAAGGATTGATCATGACTTGAACAATTTGTGATATCTTATATCAATTTTAGTCCAATATTGAACTAATAGTCAGTTTTTGTATAAACCTATTTAGCAAGCCAAAGGTTCTTTCGAAAGTAATTTTATAAAAATAATCAGTTAGTTTCATAAAAATGGGGAAATTAAGTTTCGCAAATTTGTCAAATAGATATAATGAGAGCAGAAAATTAATTAATAAAATTCAGGCTTAATATCTGATAATTCAAACTCGTCCGATAACTCATTTTTTTCCTATTTATTTAATAAATTTCCTCGTTTCTCATACAATATACCCAATAAAAATTTTTATTGAAAGGATTGTAATTTCATGCTTTTTTCTTTTTTGGCTGACAGAAGTCTGGATACGCATTTGCTTAAAATTTGAGATAATTTTATGATTTATAGACAATGAATTCCTATTTTTGAAGTATTTAAAGTATCCTAATAAAAACAAAGGACTTAGAAATAGACAGACATTTACTTAGTCTATATTTGTTTATGATCATATGAATACAGATTTGACTGATATAGCTAATTTAACTCAAGGAATAACGTTCTTATATTTCAAACTAAAATTGGGTTATTTTCAAGGACTCAATGGACCCGGAAGTAGTATTGGTAAAAAAATAAAATTTGTTTCTCAGATTTAACCTCGTGTGATCATAATTTTTTTACACTTATATTAATTTTAATCATCAGAATACTTGGTTTATTCTGTTAAATTTTTAATCACTTTAAAAAGTGTCCATGAGAAGATAAAAATTTTGACTCGTAAAGGATTGGCATTATATCTGGCGATTAGTTTCCTTTTTATCAATATTATATAAATTGAAATAATTAAACAAATTATTTAGTTTTGGTCCGAAATGGAACGAGATACATGGGAATTCAGATAAGTAGCCTCACTGATATAACCTATGAGGTCAATACAGAAAATGAAATCATACTTTCGGAGGCCCTAAGAGGTTCTCTTATAATACAAGTAAATTATTTTAATAAATATTTTAAATTTGACCCGGTAATTTGTGATGTTACTCAAGTGGTCAAAATATTTTTGGAAAAAATTGAGAATAAGTGGTCATTTTTAATTACAAACTAAAGCTCGACAAGACAACCTTACTAACTAAAATATTATATATCTACTATATTTTTTTCTAATATAACAGCTTAAAAATAATTTGGTGGGAAAAAAAATTTCGGTGAATTACAAACTGAGATATGCAACTCCAAGATAATCCATTATTATTAATTATATCAACTAATTTGCTTAAATAATTCAATGATTTATATATCATATCATAAACAATATAATATTTGTTCTTATCCTTTCATTTAAACATACATTATATTATACATAATAGTAATCGTAAATTTTTAGGCTTGTGCTTGCTTATCTTTTTAAATTTCAAATAAATAAAGCTGTGCTCATTGGGGTTGATTATAAAAAAGAATATATTACAAGTTTAGATGATTACAAGATGTATAGTTGTAAAATTAAATGTAGATATTTGACTAAAATTTTGATAGCCTAACACCAAAATTTTTGAGGAGCTCACATTCTATAAAAAAATTAATAGATAAAAAAATTATAATGAATGTTACAAAATTGTTTATAGAATTAATTTATAAATTTATGCTAAATAATTGGTTCATTTAATAATTGTAACTAATATTTAAATAAAATTTAGGTATCAAAGTAAAAAAAATTAATATATGTCCAAAAGTATTATATACCAAATATAATTGTAATAAAAAAAAGAAAGGCGGAAGTATAATGTTATTTTTAAAAAAAATTAACTATGATAAATGAAATTCCACTATATCAAGATATAACTAAGTTTTAGACGATCCTTAAAGTAAATCATTATTTTCATTGGCGGATTTCCCAAGATTTTTGGTTTTTCATTTTCCTCTTGGTATTTTTTTCCTACAAATTTTAGTCATGGCCGTGAGGCAAGGTGAAAAATAGATGAGAAGCAATATTTGAGGAGAAAAAAACGAGTCAGAATGAAGGAGGGAAAAAGTAAATTAATTTTATTGATTATTTTAATGTAGCAATCAATAGTTATTATATAATATTGATATTTTTAATTAATTTAGTAAAAAGATATTTATAATTTAATAATCTTTATTCTGTTTCGAGTAGTTTTGTTAAACTGCTTGATATGAGCAGATTTTTAAAAATGGCTAACTGAGTATTTTATTCAGAAAAATATTACGCAGACCTGAAGATTTTGCTCATATAAAATAAAAAACCACAATCAATTCAATATAAAATTAAAAGTTAAGTACTTATTGCATTATAGTAACTTTATGAAATACCTATCAATTTTTTTTATAATAAACTTCGAAATCTCAACTGTGCATCATATCTCGCAAAACCTCTCAAGAAAATAATTTAGATAAGGTAGTTTAACAAAAAATCTAATTACTATTATATTAGCCCCCTATAGGGGAAAAAATATATGGACACCCTTTATTCTTTATAATAGTTGAACGCTCTATGCGTAAAATAGGGCCTATTGTTTTTAATTTATATATAAAACTTACATAATAAATAAATTCACAAATTATATTAGACCTAGATTAAAATCGTAATATTTTTATCGACTGATATAGGAAAAGTCTCTTTTTTAAAAAAAAAATCCGTGTAATCAGAGAGCATTCATCCTTTATTTCTGTATAAAAGTTTATAAATATGTATTGCTATTATATAAAAGAGTCGGACGTTATGCAGTGTTTGTATCACTATTGATTTGTTTGAGTTGTTTGAGCAAATTTTCGTGCAATTTTTTGCGATCATTTTTTTTAGTCATATTGCTTAGCAAATTGTCTCTTTGTTTTTCACCCAGCATGAGCCTAATAGAAAAGCAAACAATAAGTTAAATCAATTGAATAGTGATATGTAAAAATGAAGAATTTTCTTTTTTAAATATATCCCCCTCCGAAATCATTATGCCTTTTGTGAACAAATTATTTTAAAATATTTCCGTTAAAACAAGTTTACTAAGTTTTCAATGCTTAAAAAAAATCTATATAAATTTTTCACTAAAACAAACCATTAAAAAAAATTCATAAATAATCAGTGATGAAATTTTCAAATATTATTTCATTTTAAATGCAACGTTATTAACATTCAATCACACCTGAGTTATTACATAAAACGTGTTACATTATATAATATATAGTATATGTATGTATTTACATAATCTCGTTCATCAAAGTCCGTAAAATGAATATTAAAAAATTCAGTTAACCGAGACTATCACTCATACAAAGTAAGTTCGGAAAAGTAGTAAAATTATGCATAAATATATATAATATGTATGTGAAAAAAATGAATGCTGATTTAAAAATAAATACTTTTCGAGCATTAAAGAAGCGAGTTTGGAAGACACGAGGGAATAATTCGAATTTTGCTTGCCATGCTCGGTAATAAAATTGGCCCAGTCCAATTTTATAATCAGGTTTAAAAGCTAAAAAAAAAAATTTTACATAAGAGAAAAACAAATTATACGTTTAGTTTATTTTAAATTTTTAATTATTTTGCTACTTATATAGTTTTATGAAATCTTAAACTAGAGATGGTATGGAAGATAAATATAAAGGGCAAGTAAAAGAAGTAATTTTAAACAAAATCTCTTTTAAAAACTTAGCCATTATTAAAAGTTAATTATAATAAAAATTATTTTACTTTATAAATTTAAATGAGCCCAAGGGATGAATAAAATTTTTTCTACAGTGACACTTGATTTTTTTATATATATATTTTTTTTAAAAAACCTTCTGTTTCGAAGTTAAAAAATAGATTTTTATCATAATATCGAAAAATTTTAATAAATAATTTAGTATAATATCTCTTTTCAACCTGATTTATTTCACGGAAATGGCGAAAAACGTTGAGCGATTTTAATTGTTCGTTTTGCGATATGACATTGTTAAAATTTTCTAAATGTATTATTTTTTTTTAAAAATATGTAATTCAACAAAAATGACTAGCTCCTCAATCAAATTATTCAAAAAACCCTAAGTTTAAAGCTGTGATTTTTTTCTTTTACTATTTGTTAGCTCTAATGTAAAAGTTAAAAATAGTGGAAATGAATAAAATAATAATCCGACGTTGACAAATAGTGAATTAATTTTAAAATATTTTCGAGTTCAAAATTTAGATTCATTTTAATAAACCACCCTTTCAAAAATAGATAAATTTTTCAAAAAAAGGTATTTATTAACCGATGAGATAGGCTAAATTTTGTTGAAAATTTTGAAGGGCAGGTAAGGAAAACATTCGCACTCTGTCAGCTATCAGAAAACCCAATAAACTTTGAGCTAGGTATTCGAAAGCAAAGTCTAGACATAGTTTAAACATAGTTTCCTTTAGAAATATAGTTTTCAAAAAAGATATATGACAAACTTTTTATGATTTATGAATTAAAAATATAAAAATTTACCAACGAATAAAGCCATAGTGTTTAATAAAGTAATAAGAGACCCTAAAATATTTTATATTTGAATAAAACGCTTTTTTAAACATGCTTTAATCAAAAGATTGAACATTTAATGCCAAAATGGTCGGTGTTATAGCGACGCAATATTCATGCTTCCAAGAGTTTCAATTTAACTTAAATAAATAAGATTTATAATTTATATACGTTTGTATTGGGGAAAGATAAAACAGAGTTGCGTATGTCATCTTCGATTCGTAAGACAAAATTGCTGGGCTGTGTGCTTTCATTATTATCCATCCAATCGTATTTAGCTTTTACAAAAATAATTGTTTATTTTTATAAATAAAACAGGAATGCTTTTTTTGTACTTTCATAGGTGTGACGAATAGGGGGGGGGCGTCGATTCGAGGATTGGCCTGTTCTCGTAAATATCATTTTAAGCTAATAAAAATCTTACCTCGTAGAAAAACCTTACTCATCTCTCTTCAAAAATGTATACAAAATATTACTATTAACCATAATTAAAAAATTTCAGAAAAAAGTGAAAAATTAAAATTACTTTTGTAAAAAATATAATAGACAAAGGCCTGCTAAAGTGGACCTAAAGACCTCTTAAATATTTATAGGGTAAACTCACATAATAGTACCCCTCCCACTTTAGAAATTTCGATTGTATCTAAGACATTCGTTGGCGAATATAAAAAGTTTAAGATTATTTTGTACAGGAATTTTAGATAATCTTTTTGCATCCTATATTGTCTATAATAAATAAAATATACTTTCACCTATTATAATTTTTTTTGAATACAACATAATTTTACATATAAAATTTTCAATGATGATAAAAGCCTTTTTTAAAGGATAAATATTTAAAATTTAGCTTCACTTATACTATTTTTTACGAGTTTTCAACTATAATAAAAGAATGATCAATCAAATTTATAAATATATAGTTACCATTAGTAAGGGAGTATACTATTTTTTTGGATATCTCTTGCTTTATCCTAGATTCAGCTTCTTCCCTAATTTCCTATAATAATGATTCGTTAGATTAAATATGTTGCTTAAATTATAAAATCAATTATAATGTTTAACTAAGCTATAAAATTAACGAAAGATTATTTTTTAGTGACCAACTAAAGTATCAAATCACCTGGAATGGAATACAACATATTTTAAAAGCTAACTATAATTAAGGAAAATGCCCCCCCCCATACGGTTCAGAACCGGAATTAAAAATATAGATTTTTAATATAAATTTGCAAATACTTTCATGATGTTTTTGCTGTGCATGCCTGATATCTTGATACTTTGAGAAGTGGATCTAACAAAAAGGAGAAAAATTTAATAAAATTTTCTTAAATAAGCAAGTACGACTTAATATCTCATTTTTTGCAAATCTATTATTCAAACATTCTTATATTTTCTTTTAACCTGTGATTCACACTCTGATATCAAATATTTTACATTCTTATCAAATTTTTTCCCAATATTTTACACCATTTTAAGATGTTTAATTTACAGTAAAACCTCTAAAAACGAACGCCTTGTTAAATATTCTAATTCAGTTCCCAAATCCTTTAAACTAAGGTGACGTCACTCAATAGTGATAAAGGCGTGTTCTTTAAGTCTAAATTAAACCAGGCCTGATATATTTTCGATTTGAACAAATCTCTTTAAGCACGCCTAAATATCAAAATGACTTTTTTTTTGGAATATCACAAAGTTAAAGACGCAACTGAATCAAAGGGGCTTTGAGTATCAATTTATTAGAGGTTCTACCGTATTTTTGAAGTTATTTGGTCTCAAACTTTGTAAACTGAGTTATGTAATCGTCCATGAGAGGCATACATTTTTCAAGGTATTGGATATTTATCGCTATTTGAATCAACTTTTTCAAAAAAAATATGAAAATAAATGTCTAAAAAAAATAAATAATAATATAAAATGAACGATAGGACAAATAATACTCAAAATTAATTAATTTTTCCTAGATAGCTTTGTGGATAAAAAATAATGAAATGTGATATATGTTATTATTACTTGATTAATATTAAGGTCGGTTCTTTTCAGAGAAGCGGATATGCAACCGGATAAACTTCTGGTTAATAAGTTTAATACGGATTTTCTTAAGGAATCGTCGACTTCCGTAAAACTATTTTTAAATCATTTTTATTTAAATAAAAAATTAAAAAATATTAGTTATTGTTTTTATAGCTTACAACATTTGCGGATAAAACAAATAAGGATTAAAAAAAAATATTAGTGCATCTATTCATAAATGACCAATATTCAAGGTCGCTTGAGTCATCATGTAAAAATTTACTAACCAACGACCAAATTATATTATTTTAAGTTAAAAAATATTTTTAGCCATGTTCGGTCCGAGCATATTTAGTAAACATTGTTTTATTTTATTTACTCCTTCCTCATCCCCTTTCATTAGCTCAGGTTTATTCGTTTAGTTTTTTTTCTATCATACAAGTTTCAAAAAATTATTTTAAAGACTCAGGCTTACCCACCCGTAGAGGGAATAAAAGTAGTTAATCTGGGCCAGATCCAATGGTCTCTGAGAATAGGTTTCCATTTAAGGAATAATGGATTATGATTCATTTATCCATATTTTTTATTAATGTTTATAATAATAAAAAAATAGATCAGGCCGACAGTTCAGGTCAGAGTTGATAAGTTCTAACCACGGCCTGGCATGGTCTATATAGTCGTTTTTTGAAACTCGCATGATGTTGGAAGACAATTAAATAAAAAAACCAAAGTCGGGGCAAGCCCATGAGGGGGTGTGGAGTTGAAAAATATAATTCATAAAATAAAGAATATCTAAAACATATTTGTACCAGGCCTGGAAAATTCAACCTGGGCCTGCAGGTCTCTGACGCATATTGACCATACTCCCTATGTGGTTCACCTTTGAACCATAACTTAACCTCGTATAGGTTGGTTTCAGAAGAAAACAATCCACTGGGAAACTAGGGCCTGCTGTGCCTTACTGCATATCGTCCAAACCTTGGAACCTAACTGCCATTCAAAAAACTATGATTTAAACTACAATTTGTCTGAGAAATTTGAAAAATTTAGGACGCTCAATCAGCTTTGATCTCTAGCCTTCACAAACTAGTTCGAATAAATTAACATTTATATTAGAGATCTGCAAGGTTAGGCCCGGGCCGGGCCTAATTCTATTTAAAATAATCGAATTCGGGCCGGGCTTAATATTTTCAAAAAAATTTCGGGCCGGGTCGGGTCGGACCTTGAAAATTTTATTAGATATTCTAAATTTATCAATTTTATATTGAATTTTTTATGTAAAATAAAAAATTTTGATTTAATTTATTGAAACTAAACGCTATATAACATATTTCTTTTATTTGTAATTATAAAAATTAATTTCTATATTTAAATAAATTCGGGGTTGGCCGGGCCGGTAAATTTTTTTAAAAATAAATTTCGGGTTCGGGCCGGGCCGGCAAAACTTTTTTAAAAAAATTTTCGGGCCGGGCTTAAAAATTAGGCCCGATGCAGATCACTTTGCTGTTTGACATAAATATCTGATGTGGTGGTTAGAATTTTAAAATGATTTAGTGGTGGAATGACATTAGTCCGGGCTACCTTAGTCTGAAGACAACCTTAATTTCTTCCGAAAAAAAAAACAAGATATGCTATACGCCTTAATCTACGTTGGTAGACATAATATCTTACCAATTGAACCAAGGTAGCAATCAATAAGGTAAGATAATATTAAAGGTTTAAAATATGTTAAAAAAACACTTTAGCTGAAATTATGTAGTGACTTTCTAAAGTGAACCAAAAAGAATTAAGTGGTTAGATTGGAACAAAAAATTTAAATTATTATTTAGTATTTTAACTCAATAAAATCATTGTGAGATGTGAGGTTGGCGTCCCTTTTAATTCAACTACCTTAATTAAGATTCCTTTATGATTATCAGACCTGCAGAGGTACCATTTGCATGGCCCAGCCCGGATTTTTTAAAATATATAAATTTATTTTTAATTTTTATAGTTAATGGCATTTTAGAATATTCGGTTTATTTTAAAAAAAAAATTCTTAGGCCCGGCCTGGGTATATTTTTTTAAAAAAATTAAAATACGTCCGGCCTGTGGTCTCTGATAATTATAACTTACGAATTTCCTTAAAGATAAATAATACATTAAATTTAGTACATTTTTAACTATATTACAAGATTTTAATTTAACTAGTAAATTGTACATGAAGATGCTTGTGTTGTAAAAACACCATGCCAAAAAATAAAATTATATATGATCTATATATTTTACGAAAAAAACAAATTTTTTGAATTTCTTTTTAAAAAAACAGATATTTACGATCTCGACTCAAACTCAATAATGTTTAAAAGCAGATTTAGAGACCCTCTAATGATCAAAAATGGTGAATATATTTTTAAATTTTTTTAAAATTAACCTTAAATTGGGTAAATCCTTGCTAAACGTTAAACAAGTCAAGATGTAAGTCTTGATATGGTCGTATATGACTGGAAGACTACCCGAAAACGGAAAATAATACGGATAATTCTAAGTATTTTTAAAACAAATTTTAACGAAATAAAAAAAATAAATAAAGGAATTTATGAAAAGATCAATATAAGATGTAATAGCCATTTTTATGCAAATATTCTAGTTGTATTTTTCGACATTAAATTGCTGTACCGGCGTAAACTAAAGGAAAATCTGATACCTCAAATTCTGTGTATTAACTCGATTAACCAGATTGAGGATCATCCATGACCTCCTCAGAACTCCTCAAGAGTTTAACCTAGGTTTTATTTCAAACGAATTCCCTTAGCCTCCGAGACGTGAACCGATAAAATTAGTGATCTAGTAATCTAAAAATTTGGATGAATTCACAATCGCAATTCCCAAAATACGCACCATTCTTTTATTTCTTTTATTAAAAAAATATTCTACCGATCTTTTTCCGAGAGATTTAGCTATACTACATATAAATACATATATTCATAGGATGGAATTGAAGTTTAATTTTTTTTAACTTGGCAGTTAGCTATGTTGTTTGTAATTTTTCCTTCTCGCGCGTTATCAATAATTAGGCAAAAGTTTGTATTTTTTTTGGCTCAACAACATGGCGATAATGTTTCACCCTATTAGGATGGGAGGTTATATTTAAAGAAAGTTTATTTAATTATATATTTTAATTCACAAGAATTAATATTAACAAAGAACATTTAAAGATCGATTTCCATCTTAAATTCTAAAGGTTGTACTGAATGATTCATTAGGAATCCAAACCCCCAATATAATATTCAAATTTGTTTTTAAATTATGAGCCAATTAAAGATCGTTTAAACAGAGCCCATGTTATTCTTAGTTAAAGGTGATAAAGCACTAAAGGCATACCTTAACTATAACGGATGTCATTAGTGTTGTTAAACGGCTCTTTTAAAAACGGCTAAAATATTTTAGCGAAAAAAAATTATGCAGACCTGGATTTTCTCGTAGATGACAAAAAAATTTGGACATCGAATAACGAAATCTCGAGGCTTGCGTAATATTATTTTGGCTAAAATCTTAATTTAAAATTGACAACTGTTTAACAACACTAGATGTCATACTTATTGGGCGATAATTTGATTTTTAATTCAATCAATTGACTCAAGAAACAGAGTCCCAGTCTCCAAATTTTCCTATAGTTCAGGCAGTCTAAATAACCAACATCATCCTCAAATGAGATAGTCGGCCTAAATAAGTCTTCAGAAAAGAACCTATTTTTTAAATTTTTTTAACAATTACGTTTGCTAATAAGCTCTCATTATATTTTCTAAGAACAAATAATAATTTTTATTAAAATAGACTTATAATATACATAAGATCATATGGCAATTTATTTTATCAATTAGAAGCCATAATATTTTAACCTATTTATGCATATTATAATAGGAGAACCGTTGGTCACTTACATATGTTTCTTTGATAAAACTTTTGCAAATCTTCTCGATGAACTTTTTTATCATAGTAAACATAAGGCAAACTATTATAGGTTCTAAATGACAAATTTTAGTGCCTTAATTATCAGTGTATGTTATAAGTCTATGATCATAATATGGTAAAATTTATGTAACGGAAAAATTGTTTCACATATTCTTAAATGTAAAAATTTATCTAATTTTTTATAAAACAGTTTAATAATATAATTATCATATTTCCACTAATAACTCTAGTTAGGAGAAAGTCGTCAATTTATTTTAAAAATTTATTACAATTACATACAAAATTGTTTCGATTATTTGCATAATCAATCTTAAGAAAAGGAAATGTGATATTTAAAAAAAACATAAACTAACAGTAGTCTGAAGTTTTTTGGCGGAAGAACTTTGGTTGACGGAAAGTTGGTCGAAAAATTTCCCGTATAGTTTTTCGTCCTTTTTCAAATAGCTCTGCAAACTTTCTTCATTTTGACAATCTATAGGCCGATAGAAATCCAGAGCCAAGGCCTTGTGAAATAATTGCACCATTTGCATTCTTAAAATCTCTTGATATTGTTCTCTGTGGTAAATCAACGGGTGAATATATATATGCTTCAAAAATAAATTAAAAGGTTTTATTTTATGTATTTATTATTAATTGGAAAACAAACCTGATCTCAATGAGCAATTCATATACCTTGTTAACGAAAAACCCGTATTCCTTAATTATTTTTTATTATTAGTAATGTTTATAGGAATTATTTGTAATTATCTAATTGTAAAATCATGAATGATAATGTAATAATCTAGAGGCCTGCATCGAAGCTGTTTTTGGGAGTCCGACCTGGTCCAAAAACATTTCAGCATTTTGTGTTTGACGTATTCATTCGATAAATTAGGCCCAGAATTTTTTTAATTTCTATTTCAGGGTCAAAATTTCCTGATAGTTACAGATTAAATAAAAAAATATTATTTAATTTTTTGAGTGATTTTATATTTTTTAATAAAAATAAATATATTATACAATAGTTAGTCGCATTTTTCAGTTTTTTAATAGTTACATCAGAATTTTATTTATCAATCTTCAAAACTTTATATTTATGATTAACTTAAGATAACATAATAAATGTATAAAATCAAGGCTTAAATATAAAATTTTGAAATAAGGGGAGCTATGCCTCACTTGAATAATTCGAATTTAACAGATTAGTAACGAACACAAATAGTAAATTCTTCGTTTTTCAAATCATTTTAGGCGATTATCGATTATAATTATGTTTTTAATGAAATTCAATCATTTGTCATTTCTATTGATAACCTATCAAACGGACAGGTGATGTGATTAACAAGGATCATCATTTACTCGTGAAAGGCTTGTCTTAGTTGGAACTAGAGGTCTACAAATGTTTTAAAAATATTTAGATGGATGGGGACTAAAAATGTTAGTGGGTCCATTCATGAAAGAGTGATACTCAACGGCATTAAATTATTTAAATGAAAAATATAAATGACTTTACATTTAAATAACAATAGATGAGCAGGTGAAGTTGCGACAGAAGATAGAAGTATACACAAAGATATCACAAAATATTTGAATTTAAGAGTATTGGTTTGATTTGAATTACCCGTGTTTTTTGAAAATGAAAAGAATTTAAATATATTTTTCCAATCATAAAGAATATTAGCTATTCCGGTAACAACCACGCTTTAGCTTTGCTGGAAGATTTCTTCGACAAAAAACAACGCTTGAATCTAGAAAAAGGTGGATGCATTATTACTCTTATATTATAATTATAAATATTATCAGAACCGAATTTTATTAATTTTACCTTATAATTTTTTAACTATTTTGGATTTGATGAAATAAATTTAAACCCAACATTTATATCTTTCATTGTATTAGGAATTTATATACCTATTTTTTAAATTATTTATCCCAATTATAAAACTATACTATACTGAATAAAATCCTTAAAAACTGTTTAATTTTATTTTACAGTTGAATTCTTATGAATGGTATTTAAGCGAGCATAAGATTTTTTTAAAACCATGTCTGATTGATAACTTTTTTTTTTCAAGACCATTGATAGACAGGCTAAAAAATTGAAAACAATGGGCGGGCTGATATATATCTAAAGGTTATGGGAAGCAGGCTCCTTAAAAAATGTGAAAAGTGAGGGTGGGTATTTTTTCGTAAAACATGGAAAGGGGGGGTTAAAAACTTTCAAACGATAGATGGGTGGGTAGTTAATATTTTTCCAAAAACCATGGACAGGAGGGTGGGTTAAAAAATAAAACATGAACGGGCTAGATCGTGGGTTTAAAAAATCAGCTCATTGCAGACCTATAGTTGGTATTAATTGCTGTAAAAAATGGCATGTCTTATATAGAAGAAACAACTCTGCCTTAAAAATTAGCTCAGCATTATAAATTAAACTAATATGTCTTTTAATTTCGTAAATAACTTGATTGCGTGTTTTTTATCATCATATTAAAATAACTTTTTGTTTAAAATAAGATGTGCAATTTTAAAAAAAATCTGCCAGTATATTTTCGCATAAATTATTTATATAAAGGTTTTTAAAAAAAATTTATTCAAATAATTCGAATCGAATATAATTAGTAAATTATTCGTACGAATATAAATAATGCACTATTAGATGTGTATTTGTTTTAGCCCGCCATTGAAAGATATTTAGACTACATGTGAAGGGCATTTAGGGCATTTAGATAAAAAGCCTTTCAATGGCGTCTACTACAACCAATGACATTGATTATCGCTGACTTTCAATGTGTGTACACTAATGAATCGCCAGTCAAGGTTAGCGACATTGGAAATGATATAATATATTATTAGATAAATAAATAAATTAAAAACGTAATAAAATAATAATGGGTAGTATATTAAACTTTTAAGGTTAAGCAAAACAGGACAATTAAATTCTTGAGATCCAGGATTAAAAGGGAATCGGTGCAATAAGCCTATACACGGTTGTCATTGAAAAAATAATATATAGGCAACTAGTTTTTTTAATCATAAATTTAATGATAAATAACCATGAAATGCATAAATGAAACTTACCCGGCTAAATAAATGGCTATAATAACACAATCCAATATATTGCACTTATTTATTTATTCTTTCTTTCATGTATATTCTTAAACTAAATCAATTATGAAGATTGTTCCACTTAACTGTTAATGAACTCTACAAAATTCCATAGGTAAATTTTTATTTCCTTCCCGTTTAAGATAATAATGAAAAATTAACTCAAATTTTGGTCAATCAATTTTTTAAAAAAATTCCACGCTCACCGATTTGGTCTTCAAGAGAGCTATGGATTTAGTCGACGTTGTATCCCACAATTCATCTAGATAAGGCTTATTAATCAAGCCAGATTTACGGGTAGTCACCATAATGTAATCTTCCATTATGAAAAAGCTATTTTGATAGAAACACGGAAGAAAAAAAAAATAAAATATACGGTTGACGTATAACTTACCTAATTTTTAACATCATGTTTTTTTAAATATAAAAAATACATTTGTTATGAGAAGAACCAATTAGATTCAAACTAGACATAGGCCACAGTATATATTTTTCGTTCCGATTGTCATAACCTTTCGGAACCGTCCCTTATATGACTGAGGCTTTTTTTTCTTTCTCTCTATGTATATTTATATAATCTGCAGTTGAGTATGGTTAATCTTTTTAGTGTTGTATAATCTCTTTATGCTTCTAATTACGATTTTTAGTATTTCCATTTTATTCTATAATTTGGGTATTTTATCAATTACTTAATTTTGATACTTGATTGTAGACTAAACAACTTTTGAACTAAGACACCTTATTATGGTTTTTTTTAAATTATTTGGTGGATTATATTTTTCATATTTTATAAAAAAAAATTCTTTTGCTATATAGGCTGTTTTGTCTATACTAGACGGCTGGCTGTGCTGTTTAGTAATAAGTGACCCATATTGTTTAAGTATTTATTCAGAGCTTTTAAGAATATGAATGATTGATAATTATGAGGGAAACATCAAAATTAAATCTTTTTTAAATATTGGTCATCTTATGTCCATATGAAAATTAATATTTCGAATTTATTATGAGCTGCAATTTTTCAATTTTTTTCTATTATTTTTTTACTATTTTTCTAAAAATTTCTTCAATAATAAGCGCGGTTAGATAATTATTTAAAAATTAAAATATAGCGAATGATGTATAAAAAACGTTATATATTTCCGTGCAATAAGAGGTTTTTTCTATCGTTAAAATCATTTTAAGGCATTATAAATCATTTACGAGTGATATTATGCATATTTAAATAAATAAATTTTCCAATTTATTTATTCTTTAAAATATGGATAAAAAAAATTTTATAAGGAAATATGAATAAAAAAAATTTTTTTAATTAAAGATCATCATAATCATTTCGAAATATTAATTTTCAAATGGACATAAAATGATCAATATTTTAAAAAAATAATTAATTTTGATGTTTCCCCCTTAATTATCAATTATGACTTTATAATTAAATATTAGATTCAATATTCGAACTAATTTACTTTTAATTTTTTTTTAATTTATCTCATTTTTTATTACATTAAAAAATAGCATGATATATATCTATATTATAATCACATTTATTAAAAAGACATTTAAAAAAATTATTAAATAATTTAAAAAAAGATAAATATAAGTTTTAAAAAAAACATAGCCGTGGCGGGCTAAAAAAAGGCTATTAACATCAATAAAACGCTAAAAAAGCAGATCTTTGTATTTTTAATTCCAATCTCAAGTAATAATTGATGATAAGATAAAATTTCGTTTCAGTTATTACTAGAACATATATAAACGTGCCTACAAATTTTTATAGAAATTGAGAGGGATGACCGAAAGGTGTTAGATTTAACATGGAATGAACTATATAATTCATTTTAATTTTTTTTTACTAAATATGTCACTAAATAAATCTGTAATGAAGAATACTTACCCTGCAACTTCACGTAAGTAAGTTTGATAAGAACTCAACGATTCGTTCTATATATATTTATTTTTTTAGAAAAAAAAAATTGAAAAAACTTAATATATTATATAGTTAAGCCGTTTAATAAAGAAAGTTTGTAGAGGGCCCGGCCCGTAAAGTTAAAATGTTAAATGCGGAAAGGAGTTAATATCGGGTTAGCCTGTATTTAATTTTGTTAATTAATATATCAATTTATTTAATTCATAATGTATAGCTACATTCCAATCTTAAACTATAATACAATAAAAATAAAATCGGAATTGGGGACGACAAGTTCTCCAAAAAAATGAATAATTATATTTTAAAATAGTAATTTAAATACTTTGTTTTAAAAAAATAATTCCCTTGCCACTTATATTTTTTAAATTTAATGCTTGGCATATGTCCAAGGGGGAATAAAATAATTGGTTAGAATTCCGTTTTAATTAATTGTAGTAAACGTAATAATAACTAATGAAAAGAGTTGAAATAGTAGAAATTAGTAGTTTTGTTAAATGATTATTTAATAAATTATATTATGGGGATTAATTATAACCTCAGCTACTATGTTTTTTTTTGAGAGATTATAAAAAACTTTAAAAATCAGTTTATATTTATATCAGCTAATATTTCTCAATTTAAGATATATTAAACATTATAATGGTAATAAAAGACAGTGATGTACCATTTGATTTTGGGGAGGCTGCAGTATGAGTTTGATCTGTTTTTGTCTTTGCTTCCTGTAATAATCGATGAAATTATCTTTATTGCCCTGTGTATAATGAAGAAAAAAAATATAAGATGAACCCAGGGTTGGGGATATTTTCAAAAAATTGTATTAAAATATGAATACAATTCAAAAAGTATTTACATACAAATATTTTGCAGAAAACTTTATGCAAAAATAAATGCTTTGATGAATAATTTTTTTCAAGTCGATTTTTTTAGTATCACACTATCAATTTTTTTTGCTTAAATAATATTTCTATTATTAATCATTTTTAAAATTATCGAATATCTGCAGTAATACGTAATTATAATATTTACTATTTAACCAGTAGCATAACATAAATTATGTAATAATTGTAAAGATAATTAATATTACTTTTTGCAGAACATATAATAAATTGCTAGAGGATGAAATATCTCCATATTGGTTTTATTTTTAGTAGATATTACATTTCTTTCCCTATATTAATAATTTTGGATAAAATTTTGAAAAAAATTCCATTCATAATTGTCAAATTACATTTAAAAGATGTTGCCGTTGTGATAGAATCCCTGCAAAAATATCTAATAAATATAATAATCTAATATAGAAACTCTTTTTAATTAGTATATCCTTATAATCATCAAAAAAATACTTGTGTTCGCTTTAGATAATACTCATTTTAGAAATAAAATAGGATTTAAAATGTAAGGTATTAATCTTTTCGCTAAATAAAATAATCAAGGGGATTTACATTTTATAATTTTATAATAAAAAATAAAGTATTTGTATTCGTCTGAAAATCGTAAAATACAAAATACTTTTTATTTTGTAGTATTTAAAACACAAAATTATTTATATTTTTTAGTATTTAAAATACAAATACTAAATACTTTCTAAAATATTTAAATAAATAATATAAACAAAAAAGTATTTGTATTAAGTATTTTATAGTAAGTATTTGCATTACTGCCCAATCCTGGTTGGACCAGAATTTCAGACAAGACGACAAATTTTTTGTTTAGAAATCATACTTTTTATTTTTTTATTTTAACGAATTTGTTATCCAGGTTTCATATTCATTTTGATTTTTAAAAAATATTTTTATTTTTGTCCAGTGAAAATAATCCTTTCATAACCTTAAGTTGTTTATTCAACGTATTCAATCCTTCTTTTTTTATTATTAAATTATCTTATTTAGTTATTGTTAAATATAAGTTATTACCATTCATTCCAGGGTTGCTGGAATTTTCAGATATGCCCCTTTCTAATGAAAGTTAAGAAGAATTCAGTAAAAGACAAAACCCATCTTGATAAATATTTAATGGAGTTTGATTTAAAAAAGGAAGGAATTAAAACTTATATATATATAAAAATGCACTAACTAAGATGGTATTGATATGTAAACAGCGATATAAGAGCGAAAAATCGACGAATTTTGAAGGATCTATCCCCTAAAAAAATTACATAATTATATTTAGCATATATATATATATATATATATATATTTTATGTAAGGATTAAGGAGGTAAATAAATAGTTTAATTTAAATGTCACATTAAAGAGTTTAAATATAAATTAAGTATATTTTTACAATTAAGTAAAACCAAATAAAAAGTTTATCTGCCAGAAGAAGATCATTATCTTTAAGAAATAAATTTATATTATTTAAACACAAATAAAGAATGTGCCAAAAAATATTTAAAGTGAAATAACAATGAATGATGATAGAAATGCTTATAAATATTCTCTCGAGTAATGATATATAATTATTAAAAAATCTATAAAAATTAGCAATTTATATAGCTTACTTAATCTAGGGTCACAACCCTCCTCCCTTCACTCGCTGCAAAAAATAAAATCCATTTTGTACACAAACTATTGCGTATATTTTAAAAATTCCGTTATAAAAGATTTTAAAAAAAACTTAAATAGAAAAAAAAAGAATTCTTTTAAATCATTTAATGACCTGATATAAAATGCTAGGATTTTCCTCTCCCGATAAGTTCCGCGTGATTTCAAAATTTTCCCCTATATTGTCGCTTTCAAAATTTTGGCCAGGACTCATTTCTGAATCAAAAGGTGAACCCCTGCTTAGTCGAGAAGAATTGTTGGCATCGCGTAATAAGGAAGTCGGAGGTGGAGGTTGTGTGAGATATTGATTAGATGGAGTCGTTTTATCACCGGAAGTATGTATTAATTTCAGCCTCTTAAGGACGGATTGGAGACTGGAGTACCGGGATTTAAAATCCTTACAAAGTTAATTTCATTTTTTTAACGGTGTAATAAATTGGGAAAAAAAGACGAATATAAAATAATATTAGAAGAAATAAAGTATAAACAAACCTGATTTTTCATGGCTTCCCTACCCAAAATTGCCGACTTTTGCCTAATAATTTCTAAAAAATCTTTTAATTCCCCCTCCGACGCCTTCTTGATGTTGTTCCTCACCTCTGCTACCGAGATTTTAAGCGCTTTGGCTAATTCGAAATTGTATATCTTAGGAAATTGATTGTTTTCCAATATTTCCAAGGTTTTGAGAGCGGCATAATAACTAAACATGTTTTTTTATAAGGAATATAATTTTTGAGGATAAACTCAACGAATTATTGAATAAAGGGTAGAAAACAGTATGGGGTGATATTGGATAATAGAAACAGTTATATAATGAGATTGGGCATGTCAAATTGGGTTTATTTTATCGGTTTTGCGGAGTTAGTATGATATAAAGGAGAAAGAATAGCCATGAAATACACAAAGATTCAGGTGAATGTTACACAGACCAAATTAAATTCAGGAGAATAGTAATAATTATCAGACTTTTTATATATTATTTTTAACAAATTTCTCAGAAAAATGTTTAACTTGCTGTAATTATTGCGAAAATATGAATAAATCTTTTTGTATTTTTGTATTCATTATTATTTTTTTGCATTTTCTTAAAAAAGATATTGAATTTAATAAAATGGAGAATGTCACAATAAGAGATATATTATTATATGAATATATATTTAAAAAATTTCATTGCATAAATGCAACGCTCATCTTTAAATCAGCATTCATAGTTAGCGCGAATTTGAGGCAAAGTATGCAAAATATAATATAAGTATAATAATTTTACATTTTTTTATACTTCGGCGAGAATTCGCGCCATCTGTGAATTCAGAGTAATAGGTGAAAAAAATAAATAGAAAAAAATGATTTATACCGTTTATCCTTGAGTTGTTGCTGAAGTTTGATATAAGTCGTTAATACTATAAATTTTTTTAAATACATGTATATTATTCATTTATAATGTATTATTCTTTAGATTTAGTTCAAGAAATATTCTTTTTAAAATTTAAAATTTGCCTAATTTGGCAAATATGAAAGGTTACTCATTTCTGATAAATCTATTTCATATTTGGCAGCTTCCATTATAATATTATTATGAAAATAATTAAATTTATTCTTTCCCATATTTACTATCTTTCTTTCGAAATGATCAAAAATAAGCATTAGGACTGGGCTAAAAAAAAATCCAAAATAATCCCAGACTGGGCCTGATTACTTTTCAAATACGTACCAGGCCTACAATTTCGACCCCTGCAGATCACTGATATCTTTGAATTTTGGCATCTATTAAATATTTATATACACAAGACAGGAGAACTAACAGGGGTACTATAGCTTCAAACTATTCTAACTGATTTTGAGTGTACCGCTCAAATGCTTTCAAAAAGACATTTACCCTAATTAATCTCGCATGTATCATTTACAGTCTATATGAAGGTTAACAAAACTATCAGAGCAGAACTTAACAACAACATGGATTATGTGTTAAATAAAGTGTTCTATCCTTGGATTAATATGTTAGCTAGTAATGAGTATAATTGAATAAATACCTTCCTTATATATAAGAACATAATTTATTTAGGCGATGCGATATTCTCTTATGGAATCAGTAAAAAATATATTATTTATATTTTAAATATATATTTATAAATTATAAATTGATGTGATTTCAATTTTTTATTAATTTTTTTTTTTAAAGTAGTTAACAAATTGCCTAGATCTAACACTACGGTGAAAGGCTGGCAGTATACCTGAAACGAATTATTCGTTATCCGATTAGTATTGCACTAATATGAATATCAAAATTATCCGATTCAAAAATTCGAATCAAATACAAATAAAGAAAATATACATTATTTGTCGAATAATTGTATATTCATTATTCGATCGAAGTATTTGAGATTATTTTAAAATTATTTTATAATAACCGTAAACAATGATAACTATTTTGCTTAGGAAATTATTCAAAAAATATTTGAAACCATACCTATTTAATATTATGTTCCTAATGAAGGAATTAGGAACTTTTTACTGTACCTATTTAATAATATATTTCTTGTGAAGGAATTGGTAAATTTTTACTGTGCCTATCTTGTGAAGGAATTAGGAAATTTTTGCGTTTATTTTATTTCATTTCAAAACGTGATAAACTGAAATAATTTTAATATAGATTTGGAAATAAGCGAACAAAATTTGAATGTTTTAAATTGAATTAATTCTATAAATAATTAATATTTTAAATAAATTTTTATCATATTAACCCATTTATATTAAATTGATGTTTTACTTTTATTTTTATCCACTCAATTAAATTTGTTCATCTGTTATCTGGATTTTTTTTACAAAATTGATGTTTTTTGAAAATATTGAATATAAATTAAATTTTTCTATCGAATAATGATTTTATATTCGATTCGTTAACCTAATTACTCGATTCATACAGAGTGCCTTTAATAAAACGGCACATAGAAGAGCATTCTACATTAAAGTTATTGTGCAAAAAAAAGCAATTTGAGTATTATAAGGCTATCGGGAGACGACAAGCGATGGTGGAATGGTCTTCTTCGTAGAGTAACTTATGATGAAAAATATGATTGGTAATAAATAAATTGGCGCATTTATTAAATATCGTCATAACGTGATATATTTACTAATAAAACTAATTTTAATTTAATTCCGATAATCACTTTAAAACTAAATTGAAAATTAAAAAAAAATACCCACTAAATTAGTACTATTCTTTTAATATAATGATGAGAAGATAATCTTAAATTTAATATAGAACACGGCATTTTATATATAAATTTTCAAAAGAAAATTTTTAAGACATCTCTGGACATTGACTAGCATCTTTCTATTGTTAAATAATATGTTTTTTTAAGTTTGGCGTAAATTAACCAACTTTATAAAATTCGATCTCCATTAAAATTGCATGTAAGGTGGTGAATATTCACATCAATAAACTCCATATTTAATAGGGATTTTTAATATTATAATGTTTGCTAATTTTTTTTTAAACTTATTTCTTTTTTATATATTAGTTTTTTTTTAATTATAATTTGCTTTTTTGGGATTATAAACTGTATACATATAGGATATTTAGAGTGTTAAAAGGTTAGAAATCTATTTGTAAAAAATTTTATTTTTAATTTTAATACAGTAAAACTTTTATAATGTTTTCTAAAAGGATTAGAAATTTAAGATTAAAAATGCGAAAATTTTAAAACCGAGGTTACATTGTTTAAATATGTAATTTATGTAAGATCTTGATACAAAAACGACAAAAAAGAAAAGCTATAAAGTTTTAAAGTAAAATCTTCTGTTGCAATCATTCATTGTTAAAAATATATGAAGAATAGAAGAGTAATTAGCAACAGGTTTATGAATGTAAAGGAAAACTTTTAAGGGATTCTCTTTAATTTAAAAACCTTCTATAAAGTGAACATAACTGGTGTGCTATTGATTGGTAGCGCTTTAAGGGGGGTGGGGAATTAATCTAATTAAAAATACATTCTTTTTAAATGCAAAAGAACATAACCTGGGACACAAATTTTTGCTTGATTCACAGATGCCTCAATGTTAGTAGAGATTCTTTCATATTTGGCAGAGTCCTCTAACCTTTTAATCAAAACTTTACCAGGGAGTTGTACATCCGTGTTCGTTTGTATTATATCATTCTAAACAACAATAAAAAATTCGAATACAAAAATTTCACAAATAAAATGATGTATAATAATAAATAATTTCATTTTTATATAATACTTTAAAATGGGATAGGTTAAAAAAAGTATGATCTTAGTTGATAACTTGGTGTAATTTTTTTTTTTTCATTTTGCAAATTCTTGGTCAAAATTAAGTTATGGTCATTATCTTTCTCTAACTAACACCTCCACCATTAAGAACCTCAATAATGGCAATATATAGTGATACTAAAAAATAAATATCAATGCATTTATTGTTTTTTATTGTTTTGTTAAATGTCAATCTGTTATAAAAATTATTTATATTCTTTTCATAATTTAAATAACTGACTTGTAGCTGGCAAATTTTTTAGCAAATAGGTCATAGATTATAAAAAAAATTAACAATGGACTAGATAAAATTTGTCTCAACTACTGCTGAGTGTAACAAGAGCAAAGGAAAGTAAAAAGCTAACCTAAGGCACATTTATTTAATCTATGGGAGAACAATTCTGGAATCTATAATTTTAAAAAATTCTTATCATTTAACAGTTAAAGCATATCATTTGTTTTGATAGATAGATTTTGATTTTATAGGTAATAAATTATTTTTACAAGTTAGATATTCCATGTATTCATAACTATTCATGCAGAATTATATTAGTTTAAAACAAAAACGTTATTACAAGTACTTTTTTAAAAAAAATCGGTCTTTATGTCATTTTTTCTTATGACAGATGTGTCCTAGGGTTGCATTATGAAGGAAGGACAGTTTTTTAAGGCCAATTTTTATGGATGGCCAGAAATGGGATTGGGCCAATGTTTTCCAAACAGTCTCTTCCCATTTACTAATCATTTATTTAAAAAAAACCAGATTATTTTTATATTATAAAATATCATTTTAAACTAGCTAAATAACAGCACCCAATGGGAACAACCAGTAATTTTTTAATATTATTTTTCCTAAAAAGCACAATTAATTTAACACCCACCCATTGCTAATCCTTTTCTAAATAAATGCTTATGAAGTTGTTTTGGGTATACCCACAATGTTGCTATGTTAATAATAAAAATAATGAAATCATGGTCAGTGCTGCCCTTAAAATATTTACTACCCTTGGGCAATAATTTCAATTTATTGAAAAACACAATAAATTATATACTATTGAGATATTACATTTCATGTCAATTTAGATATCATATATACATTTATCTTTTAATTATAATTAACAATTTGCTGTCCCTATTTTGCCACTTTTTTGATATTCTTAGGCTATAACTAAGGTAGTTCATAAGGACAGTCCTGCTTATGATCTCTTCTTGATTTTTCCAATTATTTTAAAATTCAAGATGCATTATTAAACTTTTAATTTGGTCATATCATTCCTTATATGAGGTAATTCGTGAATTGATTCTGTGAAACCCTGATAGTAGTGGCTGCATAATCGTTCAATGTCCTTATCAAGAGATTTTATCCTCGCCTGCAATGATTCTAGAAATTCTTTTTGTGCCTCATGATCAAAGAGATTCCTTTAAAAAGTATAAAATTTTAACAATGTTTTATCCATATAAAAAATATAATATTTAAAAATCCTAATTTACTAATACCATTATTTAAATTAATTTTCAATAGAACAACCATATTTTATAAAATTATGCAATATAATAGATTAAATTATATATATAACCTAAATGTAGGGCCTAGTGGACCATCAGTTGATTCTATGTCTTGAATTATATGATCCAAATGTGATTGACTAAGTTTGCTTTCATTAGTCATTTCTTTAAAGAATTTTCAATAGTGTACAATGCAAAAAAATCATATTGAAATATAATCTATAAAATATAACATCTATTTTACAAAAAAACGCATTGATATTTTCGTTCAGATATGAACAAGATAAATAATAAACTAGTGTGACACTTCATATAAATCAAAATTCGCAGTCAAACTGTCAGCTTAGAGCCCTTCATAATCTACAGCCTTCTTCAAATGACAGGACACTTATCGTTCATCAAATGTGATGGATACACGTCATTCTATTATAACATAAAAATTATAATGATAGAGAAACAAACCACGATTTTGAATTAAGTTATATATTTTGCATTTTAATTAAAGAATATTTTTTATAAAAATGTTGTTAGGAACCTGTAAAAATGGATTATGATGATTATGAAACTCTGCCACAAAATACTACAGTATACACCCATATGTTGGCGGGTGCTGCGGCTGGTATTATGGAACATAGCTGTATGTATCCTATAGATTCTGTGAAGGTTGGTTAAATTTTTATTTTTTCTTTATTAGATAAAAATGTAAATATTTATAGAATTAATTTTGGAGGAAATAGATTGTTTTGAAATTATATATTTATAAAATAAAGTAAAATATATTTTTTTTAAATTAGGTTATGATATAACTGGCTAAAAAAATTTTATTTTAGATTAATTAACATTCTTGGACACCAGCTTAAATTGAAAGTATCCACTATTTATTACCCTTTGAATATTATTTTAACAATATTTGAGTATGTTTCAATACAAACATACATTGAAAATTATTTAAAATTAATGAATGCTAGAATATTTAATTATAGTATATATAAATCAGGAATGACATTGGTTTACCTTTTCCTGGTTTTAATGTTGTATGTTATATTATTTTTATAACACTTGTATATTGTTTTTACATTATGCTTAGGCTGTCACCAGATTTCTTCAATGTGTGTAACAATTTTTATCGTTTCACATTAGTGTTCTGCATTGGGCCTAATTTTTCAAGCCTGGCCCTGTCCAATTCTTTTTAAAAAAAATTTGTCCTGCCCAGCCTGATCCAGAACAAAAAAATTTTATTTTACCTAAAAGCCCTTCAAAATGAAGATTATTTGTCCACCCGACCCTAATTTATTTAAATATAAAAAATTTAATATTTTTTGATTGATTGTAAAAAAAAAATATTCTAAAATAAAAAATATTAGCACCTTGTTTCTGCAAGAATTTTAAAATTTATCAATTTATTTGACAAGATGTAATGATATCAAAACCCAGCCTGGCCCAAAATTTTTTAAAAATATTAGGCCTAACCCAGCCTGAACTAAAATTATTTTTTTTAAATAGACCCAGTTAGACAAAAACCACTTTTATCCAGGCTGGGTACGGGTCTGGCCATAATTTGCAGACTACTTCACATCATGTTTTTGAGCAATTTATCATCCAAAAACATCCAAACATTTGAGAGTGGTAAAATAATATTCCATATTTGGAATCTGGTACCTCTGTATGAAATATTTTCTGGTTTCAGATATAGATCTCTAATTCATATTTTCGAAAGTTTAAACTGCTATGTTGCGATATCTGTCGACATAGAATCAAAAATATTTTAATACTAAATTCTTATTAAATTAAATAACTATATTTATATGGGTGCTGGTATAAACAAAAAGGGGGGGGGGGTTAAATATAATTTTAATATCTAATAAAAAGGGTTCCCCTATATCCTCCCTCTTCCCAAAAATATATCTATATGGCATAAACAATATTTTTAAAGTTTTAGTTTATAATTTCTTAAAATATGAGTAGATTTTTTTTATGAAATAAGTGTAAAACTAAAAAAAATTTTCTAATATAATCCAGCCCTATGAATTTTAAAGAGGAAAACATTAACAAATAACCCCCTTCCCTTGAAATACTGGGATATACCATTGTATATGGAATGCAAATTATAAATTTTGTTTATTGATATACTCAATATATTATCAAAAAAAATTATTTTATATTGTGATTATATATATTATTTATTTGACATTTCATTTGACATCTTATGTTTGTTTTTAGTATGAGAAAATTTTTAAATATTAAAGCTAAATTCATAAAATTTGACCAAGTATAAAACAAATTTAGCCACAGGCAGAGTATGGAAATAAAAACCAAGCAAGTTTTTTAAAATTAAGTTGGAGAACTTACTGCACCAAAGAGATGATTGTAGATTAGAATTATTTTTTTATTATCACTAAAGAAAAAAGTCAATTTTAAAATCTCTACCACTTATTGAAAGTGAAAACATTTTTATTACTAAAAGTTTCTGATTTCGTTTTATATACTACCAGGTATGCCAGTCATTATTCAACACAATCAGATGTATTCAATTATTTTTTTGCAATTTATTCAAGGATTTTGTGATTGAAATTAGTATCTTTTTGCTAATTTCTGTTCTACACATATTATTGGCCATTTAAATACACTAGGATACTGTCTATGTCTGGTCTCTCTACTCTGATCTATAGTGCATCTAGGAGCTAAAATATTTCTAAAAAGCAGAATTTATACCAAAAGTATTCACCATTATTCGTGAGTACACTTGTAACCCTGTTAATATAATCATTTTTGTATTTTAAAATAGGGCCTATCTTTTCAAATTGTAAATTTAATTGTCCTATGTAAAATATTTAAAATTACTTTTCATATATTTAAATATAAATATGAAGTATCCTTCTGATGAAAAGGACACTGGAAAAACTTCTCATGAATCCTCATATTTAAACTTTGGTCATATAAAATCCAACCTTTATTTTTTTTTTAAATTGATTTATTTACACCCAAAAGAAAAGATAATATCTGAAATAAACTATTCATATTGATTATAAAACTTTCTCACATTTTTTGTTTATAGGCTAATCAATAATTTTTTAATAAAAAAATAATTAATTTTTCTTTTGTTAAACTTTCTTGCCATAAAGATCGCGCTTATGATGATTGATTTTAATATTTAATATAAAAAATTTATCATTGTTATAATTAATAAGTTTTTATCAAATATTATTTTTCTTCATATCTTTATATTTGACATAATTTTTATTTTTTTTTATTATTTAATTTATGTATTAATAAATAAATAATATTTTTAAACAAGGAACTACTTCACATGGAAACGGAGGACCTAATAAAAAGATTTTTTTTAAATTCTTATGAATTTATCGTTTTCAATCATTTTTATATTTTATAATATTTTCGTTAGTATATTGTTGTGGAGCTCCGTATCTGACGTTTTTTTCATAGAACGTCCAAGAAATGTTTTCTTTTTTCTGACCCATTTGAATCCTCTCGATAAAATTTTTACTTTGAGATTTAAATTTTTTAAAACAATATCGATCAGCCAGATGTGGTCTAAAAATTTAATTTTTTGTGAAAAATTTTTAAAAAATATATCTTTTATATACAAAATATATAAAGAAAAAGTGCTTATAAAATATAGCCCTGTTTGACCTGTATGGTCTGACCCACTCCAAGCAGTTGGGGTTGGACTTGGACAAATTAGTTACGAGTTTGAGCTGCATTAAATTTTTATTCCGGTCATTGGAGCTCTACAAGATATAAAACTTATATTTTTTCACTAATGAATTTATCGACCATAAAAAGTTATTCTGCATCGCTTATAATATTTAACCGTCTTTTAAAATATCCTACTTTTTCCTTAGTTTACTATATATTTTTTTGGATCGGCCTCATCGTGCTTATTTATAAAATTAGATCGGGCCAGAACTGAAAAAAAGATCCAATGGGTTCTAAAATAGTTTTTTTTTAAACGAAGTTAAAAAATGTATTTTTATATTGATAATATGGAAAATATTTCTGAATCCAGAGAACTTATTCAGGTTTGACTATATAACATATCAGTAGTCTGCAATAGCCGCCCCATGGGCAGGGTCGGGATAAATACTTTTTTAGACCGGGCCTGATAAAAACTCCCCAGGCAGGGCAAAAAAATATATATTTTATGAATTCTGATATTACATAGAAATGATAATCCATAAAGTATATTGTCTTTAGTTTAACCACTCTCCAAGATTGTAAATAGTTGTTTATAAGGCTATACCGAAATTAGATATCAGATTGAATGGGCGCCGATATTGGACTTTTAGTAAAAATATCGGATCGGTCGTTATTTTTTTTAAATTTAACCGGATACCTATTTTATGCATATTTTTATATTTTATTAATTTTTGGACTAACCTTTCTCCTAATAAATATTCATAACTCCCGTAAAAAATGTGTCTTATAGTGCACCCAAATTGAGCGTTTACGTTTTGCCGTAATTTTCTAATAAAAAAATGTAACCGCATCCCTTGTTTAAATTAAGGTTGCCTTTTTATTTTTTATCGTCGATTCAAAATTTTAAATAAGTTCTAGAAATAGGATTTGTCTTTGAAAATTATAATATCACATGCCATCTTATTTCTTTAATTTTTAAATATTCCTTTTTAGGATATAAGTAAATTATTTATTACATTTTATAAAATATTACAAAGTAAAGAATAAAAAAAGTAATGAAAAGGCAAACCTATTTGCGTTTTTCTTTGAGATGGTTGCTAATGCCAAACGGTTACCAATTTGCACGAGGCCATTTGTGATGCATTATTTGCTCTTGCAATTCAGCGTTTGAAACGCTCAATTTGTGCGCACTATTATAATAAAAATATTTAATGTTTTTTACATTTTTTAACGATAGGAAAATTACCCATAATTTTTGTGTTTTTATTGAGAATAACTTATAGTAAATAAAAATCATCCAAATTTAAATTTGATTAATTAACAAAGATATCAATTATCGCCGATCGATCTTCTTGATTGTTGGAGGGTTAATGCTCAAGGGTTTTTAATTTTGGCAAACCTTGCGCTTAAGTATTTGGCATCACCTGTAACAAGTGTTCAATTAGAATTTATAGATAGTGTTGTTAAACTGCTCTATTTGAGCCGTTTTATAAAAACGTCTAACTCAATAATTTCGCCAGAAAAATATCTCCTAAGCCTCGACGCTAATCCTACCTTCGTGCTATCTATAACCAAAATATTCAGTCTTGTATACTATTTTTCTGGATAAAATATTGAGTTAGTCGTTTTTAAATATCGGTTCATATCCCGTTTAACAACACTAGATATAGATAGCCCTCATAGAAGTTTATTATCACATAAACACGAGGCTCTTATCTTTCCAATATTATAATTTGAATTATTTTATATTTCATTATTATATTATTTTGTTAATTGATGTACATATATTAATTTGTTTTTACTTTTTATTCAAATAAAGATATAATTTTTTTATACAGAAAATTTAATATGAATATATATAGTATTAGTATATTAAATTTATGCTTACTTGTATTAAGGCTAAAATAGATAAGTGAAAATTCTGATCATCATTCAAAAAATAATATAGAAGATAGAACTATATATATTTATTCTCTAAAGGCTATAACTTAATAAGAATAACTATATATCTTATAAATAAAAATATATCTACAAAATTAAAGACATATTTTTAGAATTTTAAATCTTTGAGACTTTTTCTGATTTACAGCCGGGATAAGTGAACAAAAATTTATACACAGATTTTTATTATTCCACATTATATTATATAAAATAATGATAAAATATTAATTGTAAATATCGGATCGGTGAAAGAACTGTGGATCGGTACAGCCCTAGTTGTTTATTTTGGTATATTTATACCTTGTATTTAAAAAAAATTTTAAAACTTTGCAGGGCCAGACAACTTTAGTAAAAATTAAAACTGCGGTGAACCGTTCAAAAACTAAATTCCCACCAGGCAGGGCTTAAGAATTTTGCCATTTGCAAACCACTCTAATATACTATTTTATAATTAGATTAAAGTGATGCTTGAGAAATATATCTAAGTTCGATAGCAATGTTATAGTAGTTCTTATTCTTAATTAATAAATTTAGTGTTGGAAGGAAGTTCAATAATCTAAGATGTGAAATGTATCATGGCTCGAAGAAACCAAAATATAAAAGAATAACATAAAAGGCAGACCTACCAGGCGACATAATTCACGCCATTATATATATATTTGAACTTGGAATAAAAGTAAAATATCGAATGAAGAGATTTCTCATATTGTATCAGTTGAAATTGGTCGAATTTGTGTTATTTCAAACAAATTTATAAAAAAAATATCCTAGATATAAAGTGCAGGTTCGGTCTTTGTATTAAAGACCACGATTTCGTCAGGCCTTTTACAAATATTGCGGTTCCATCAGATCTTTAAATTTGGACCGCAATACGGCCCGAGTCGTGAGATACGGGAATTTAATATGTCGGTCTAACATGTATTGGCCCATTGTTTTTTTTAACTTGCAAAACGTGTGAATAGGAAAATTTAATTATCGACCTAAATAAATATTTTAAAAAATTAAAATAACATCATATTTAGACCCGAATGCAGAGTTTACTATCCTACAAATTATATGAAGGCAAAAACCTGCTCCAAAATCTATCCCAGATTATCAAAAACGAAGGTATCTTGAGACCCATTCGAGGTCTTAACGCTGTAGTCATTGGAGCTGGTCCGGCGCACGCGCTTTACTTTTCCAGTTACGAAGCGATCAAAAAATTTCTGATCACGCAAGATTCGAAGGCTCTCGATACTAAAAATCAGGGTATTAATACTTGTTCTAGGACCCATCAAATTTTGGCTCATGGTACAAAACATATGTTGTATTGTATATATAAGTGCTCAGCAGACCTAAAGAGTATGTTTAAGAAGTCCTCCTAGATCACTTTTTTACCTGCTTTTATATATAACGTTGATGCTTTCTTTTTTGTCTACAGCTAATTTGTATTATATATTTGTTTTGTATGAATTAAAATTATTTTATTAGTTAAAAACAAATAGTTATTTTTTATTTAAAAATCATTGCTAATGTAAGTGTTCATTTAAATTTTTATTATTGTTGCAACCATTTAAAAAGCAGCGTCGATTTGTTACCTTTTTTAAAATTAGCTTAAAAGAAGCGATCAATAACGGTCTCTAAACAGAAACTAGCCATACCTTCACTTTAATTTACTTATTTAAAATATATTTTATATTACATTTTTTTTTATATTCGTAAGAAGATACAGTTTGTATTTGTTATAATATACAGCAGTACCTCTATATAACTTTTCTCTAGGGAGCAAAAATGTTAAACTTTATATACGGAAAACATAAGAAGAAATGTGTTTCTTAAGCTTAAATAAATAAATATACAATTTAAAGGTAGGACCGAACCGACCTGCAATAATTTTGTATAAATAAATTTGCCTAATTATCAGTTTTAAAAACATTTTCAAATTTAACCTTGTCGGTGAAAATATTTTAAATAATTTATCCTACCCTATTATACTTCTTCCCTTCGGCTTTGGATCGGCGCCGACCTCTGACAGATTTATGAAATAATATATTAAAGTAAATCAAAATCGTTTTTATTACATCGCAAATACAAATGGCATATTACATTAATCCTTTCGGAGAAAATCTAGAATAAATGTTTACCGACTTTTGTTTTCGTTCTTTTTTGTTTTATCTTGTAATTAAGTCGCTAAAAAATTTTGAAATGTGATCCTTGTAAGATAATGAAGGAGTGTCATTTATTATTCCATCATCGCTTTTAGGCACAAATTAAAACCGCTAATATTTTATTAGAGATGCTAGTCTAAATGGATTCGAGATCAATCATCCCGGCTCATTTTTGCCCCGACCTGTAATATTTTTTTGCCCCTATTTAAAAAAATATTTTACTCCAGCAGTCCACCCTTAAATATTTTTGCAAAGCTATTGCAAAATTCGTGATTTAAAAACTGACACGGCCCAAAAAAAAATTCTTTTTATAGAGAGGGCCGTGATATCAGATACGAATATTATTTTTATAAAAATAAAATTTAAACATATAAACGGAAATTTTACTATTAATTTGAAAGAAGTTTTAAAAAAATATATTATATGCCGAATATTTAACATTATTTTAATGTTAACATTTTCGGGACCAACCAAACATTAAATACTGGAACTTTATATCGAAGCTATACTCTATACCGGTTTTTTTTTAAATTTATAGAGCAAGTATGCCAATAGAACAAATTAGGCTATCAATATATTTTTTGCTAATCGAAAAATAACTTTTTTTAATTAATTGGATTATAGTTATTTTGTTTTCTTGTATGTGGGTGTCAAAAACATCATTTTTTAAAAAAATATTATTTATTTACAAGGTAAATCATTACTAAAATATTATTTTATAAATTCTCGGAAATTATTATACATATATAACATTAATAATAAATCCGATTATGCATCATTTAACGTTGAAAATCAACCTAATATTTTATTTTCTCATAAAACTATGATATTATAAATAATTAGTATATTCTACCTTCACTGAAAAATCAATTACTATTATACTATCTTTAATTTTTTTAGGAGCTGCTGGGGCTATAGCCACGTTATTACACGATGCCATTATGAACCCGGTTGAAGGTATATTAATCTATTTCTGCATTTCACGCCTTTAAACATTTTTGTTTAAACTCTAAAAAAGAAAAATAATTTAAAGCCCTCATTTTTTGATTCCATTATAATATAAATTAGCTTGAATAGATGCTTGCTAGCTGTAATCCTAGTGATACTTTTATCATTGTATATATTTTTTTAAGTGCTTTTGATTTTTTTAACTTTATTATTTGGGTTGTGCATTTGACCGGTCAAATACGTTTCGGTCAATTGACCAATATTTGACAGGTCAAATATGGACAAATTCAAATATATGTTTTTTTAAAGTCAATATTACTTTTTTTTGAATATAATAATAAAATCAATCTATAATATTAATTTTTTAAATTTATTACATTCAATAACTAACGTTTAGCTCTCCGTAGCAGACTCTTGTTCTGATTCATATTCAATATTATTATTTTCTTTAATATTTTTTAATCAATTTTCCTGATGTCGAGATCTTCAATCGATTTCTATTGTCATAAGAATATTAACCCAAATCGACCTATTTCTTTTTAAAGAAGTATAGAACTAATAATTGTTAGTCTCTTAATGGGCATGGTGGGCAAAGTTTAATCTATTAACTTGAGATCAGAATTGATTGTTTCTTATGGAAATTACTGTTTTCCACATAAATTGCTATTAATCATGCTGTTTTTGCTTCTGAAATTAATTATGTCACTTCAAATATTTTGGTCACCACGCTGTAAAATAGCTAATTCTTGAATTATATCACATACTTCAATGAGTTCACTACTAGTGAGATGCTTCTCTTGATATTGGGGATCCAAAAAATAAGTAACATTGTGATCACATGTATTTATATCGTTTTTTTTCATTTTTTAAACATATTCTTAAATTTTTTTAGAGTATTTGACCAGCACTCCTCCGATCACTTGACTGAATTTGACCGACTTACAAACCCTAATTATTTCTATGACTTTTTTAATATGGCAATTTAATTTCTAATTTATACTTAAACTTATTATAATTCTATTTACTAGTATTAGCATAATTATATTATTCTGAATATATAATGCCATATAACCCTGCATTCACAGTTGGCGCGAATTCACGATGAAGTATAAATACAGCATATTTAGAATAATTTGCCGCGAATTCTTGCTAAATGTGAATGCAGGGTACTTTTAAATGGTATTCTCGTTTATAACATTTTCCCTATTTAACTTTGAGATCATTATTTATATTGTTTAAAATAATAAGTTATAAAGCAAAGGCTTCAAGCCCTGAACTCGCCTTATACTGGAGCCATTAACTGCGCTAGCGCCATTTTCAAAAAAGAAGGATACGGTGCTTTTTATCGCAGTTATAGCACCCAATTAACTATGAATATCCCTTTTCAAACCACTCATTTCGTCACTTACGAATATTGTCGCAAAAAATTTTACAGACTTCGTTCCAAAGGCAACACCAAAAGATATAACAAGGGCGTAAGTAAAAATAAAACTACAGACCCCGTTTTTTATTATGACCCGCTATCACATTTGATGGCCGGAGGTATAGCCGGGGGTATAGCGGCCGCCATAACTACCCCATTAGACGTCTGTAAAACTCTGCTCAATACTCAAGAATTGATTTTATCTGTGGGCGATAGTAAGTTCTATTAATATCTATTTCATGTTTATTTTACACACTTCTTTTAATGCATATGTAGATTAGATCTTTCTATTTTTTTTAATTTAAAAGGTATCCCTTCTCCCCACGTACACCGCTATAATAACCCAGTGTCCAAATTATTGAGCCACACTCACTTTTAATTTTTCTTATTATTTATTTAGAAAATTTTAATTGTGTATTTTAAATATCATATTTTCTTTTGATGTATAATTATAATATCCATTAAATCTTAGATTTGTAATTTTAATTTCTTTCCTTTAGTATTGAACGTGTCTCTCCACAAATTTATTTTAGATAAAAAAATTTGAAAATCATTATTTTATGACAAATAATAGAAATAAAATTACTCAGGTCCAGTTCCAAATTAAAAATAATTTTTCAATTTAGCCACTTTATTTTTTTTTAAAATTATTATCAAAAGATTCTACCAACAAATCCCACCACTTTAGTGCTTCCCCTTCAGGATGCTGCTCCCCTCATTCTTCCAACCTTTCATCACACCCCTCCATATATGAATCCTCTAATAAAAGTTACCAGGATAAAAATAAAATTTCTAATCCTAACATCACAGAGCAGAACAATACTAAAACAGGTACCAATAACATTACTTTCATCAAAAGAAGGCAAACCAGCAACCTATATTTACTATCCCACAACTTCAAAAAATACAATATGATAACCTCTACTACCATTAAAACGTGCGTTACCGTCCTATCGACTAGTTCTCGCGTACTTGGAGCGCCTCGCGATAATTCTTCCTCTACCTTTAACCAAGTTAACTTCAATAAAAATCTTCATAACGATAATAAAAAAACGCAGACATCTATCAATGGCTTAATGCAGGCCGCTAAAATGGTTTATAAAATAAGAGGGTGGAGAGGTTTTTATCAAGGTCTACAAGCCCGATGTATATATCAAATGCCCGCCACCGCTTTTTCTTGGTCCGTCTACGAATTTTTTAAATATTTTTTGACGTCTAAGAAACATAATTGAGTTCCGATTTCGCGCACATTTATTTTTTTTTAATATATCAGTATTGATTTTCGCTCTCTTTGACTAAAATTCAATAAATAGTTTTTTGGACCTTTTTAAGGAATTAAAAAGCAAAATGATAGACAACTATATTGCTAACAAAATTCCATAATATAGAGAAAATAATAGTTAAATAAAAAGTTTTTTATATTAAAATATTTTTGGTTAGATCACTTTTAGTTAATCTTTGATTATAATATTTCATATATTAGTGTGTGAAAATTTAATTTATTTATACATTCTTGAGAAATCTGTTTAAAATATAAACAATGCTAAAAAATATATATATTATATAAATATTATTTAACATGCTAGACGTCTATAATACTAAAGAACTTTAGTCTTATTGAATTGTTATATAGTGATTATATACAACTCAACGATTACAATTATCAAACAAAATTATGTTATATTCTTGTATTTATTTTTTTCTGCCACAAATATAAATTTTAGTTTTTTTTTCAAAAAATATTGAAATGATGTATACACATAAACATTGCTATACGCACAAACCATTTTGGTATTTTTTTGTTATCTCAATTAAATTTTATAGCCTATTAAGTTCTTCTTAAAATTAAGACACTCAAGCTATTCAGAATATTATTTTTTTTAAACTTTATAAAGATTACGAATTGCTAAAATTGAAACAAAAATTATCTTGTTTTTTTCAATTATTGGTATATTTTAAAATTTTGAATCTAAATTTTATTATCGATTAAAATTTATATATAAAATATATACTCTATATTGTAAATTCGTTTTTTTGACAACTTTTCTATCATGAATTATATATTATAATCATGTCATGGTTTCTTTAATGCAAATTTATATAATAAAGATATTACTTGGTTTAAGAAAACAAAATTTATCTTATATCAGGTGCCCAGAACAGAACTTTAAATAATTGGTGGAGTCAATTCGAAAGTTTCTGATGAATAATATAGATTTTCTGAAAAAACGCAAATTAAAGAAATCGAATCGTACCCTACAATGTGGAGACAATAGCTTCTCCAGTGCAGTAGATTTTCATCCACTGTTAGGCAGTAATTTACCCTACTGTGCCCGTATAAAGAGGAATGCCGGTACCCCTTTAAAGATTGAGCATAGAATATTGGCAAGGATAAAGAAATATGAAAATATCTTTTTCTATATGAGATTAGTTTTTATACTTTTGCTTACTTTGTGATGAATATGAATTCTAAAAGCAGAAAAAAATATTAAAAGAATGATGGTGGTTATTAGTTTTATTTCTTTAAATGTCAATCATTATTAAGAAATTTTAAATTTATTATAAAAAAATTAACATTTTATTAAATTTAATATTTTTATTGTTAAATTTTGACATTAACTAATAAATCTAGACATCCTCTTTCAGCCAAAGATCCAAGCCATGATCTATAATGATTCCGGTTTTGTAACGGTTCAGGGAAAATATATAATTTAAGGTTTGGTTTATTGCTGCATCGTATTTCTTCTAGTCTGGCCAGAAGTTTTTTTAAAAATTTGTCCAGCCCGATCTCAAAGGAATTTTTTTATTTCACCCGATAAGCCCGACCCAAAATTATATGTCCCCCGCCCGAATATATTTAAATATTTATTTTTTTGCAAAATAAAAAAATATTGGCGTCTTATTTTTTATAAGAATTTATAAATATATCAATATGTTTGACAAAATATAATGATATCATATTAAAACCCGGCCCGGCCAGAAATTTCTTTAAAAAATTAGCCCGACAGCCCAGCCGATATTATTTTTTAAAAATAGAATGATTTGCATATCTCTAGTTTCGTTACGATATAGCTGTTTAAAAAAATAAAATCGGGCCGGTTACGTTTTTGGAAAAATTAACGTTTTTTGCGTTTTGAATTTTTTAAAATATCAAATTTTGCCTAATCTGAACTATAAAAGCTATATGGATCTTGTGAAAATTTACAATATACACTATAACAAAATATAATAAATATTTAAGATCTGTAAAAAGTATATTATTAAAAACTTCTTAAACATTCTCAAAATTCTTTACTGCCTCAGATCATCAGAGGCATTCCTATTCCCAAAAATTCTCCAAAATTATCAATTCATATTTGAAGCATATTTTTAATTACCAAACTTAGCTAAAATTACCCTAACCACGAAATCTGGGGGGCTTGGGCTTCTCTCTACCTCTTCAATTTTTTCTACTTAGTTACCATCCATGAATTTATTCTGAATCTAATCAAACCAGTCTAAGATTTGTTACATAATCTTGCGTTATCTAGTCAGCAAACACAACAGAAGGAGCATATATTATGATCACAAATTTAATAGATTAATTAAATCGTTCATTAAATTATTTTTAAAATATCCGGAAGGTAGCATATTTGTTATATGAAATAAAATAATTTTAAAACATTAGGACTTCGGGATTACTCAACAAAAGCATTAAAGGCTAAATATAATACGCTAAATTTGGAACAAATTACTAAACAACGACCAATTTTCATTAAATAATTTTTTTAAACTGTATTAACACTATTTCGTATTTTGCTACCCCTTTAATCTTAACCCTAATCTTGTAACTATTTTTTTAAATGAACGAAATTATTCTAATTATTTAAAATAATTTTATTAAAAAATTTATTACTAAATTTAAATTAAGGTAATTAAAAAATATATCATGGAATATAAAATTTATGGCTTGTTTATATTATAAGAAAATAAATCTGAAGTTAATTAATGGAGTATATTTTTTTTATTTGCCGAATTTCCACTTTACTTAGGTAGTTAAGTTACTCAAACCCTTCCAATATTTTTAAATTCCAAAAATTCACAATTAAAAATATTAAGAACTTCCCAAAAGCCAATCTCCAAGAAAAATTTGTTCTTTAAAAAAATTACATTTTTTTGTTTGTTGCTCAAAACTAGATTATAAACAGACTTTGAAATGCTATTTATCTGAAAATTTTATAAATGAATTTTTTGAGAATGCTCAAATAGGATTTTTAATCGAATTTTACCTAAAATTCCAAATGTTTTTTGTAAAATATCTTTTATAAGTAAATCTTTTGCGATTATTATCGTTCAAACTTGAAATCACAAATCATTTATAAAAAAATTTTTTTTTTTCAAACTATGGCTATATCCAAAACTCAGAAACGTTTTTTAATTAATTTAGGAACTGGAACTATATTTTTAAAATATTCAGACCAGGAACTTTTTTAAAGTCCACTAGGAAAAAATATGATTTCGATGATATAAGAAGAATTGTAGATAAATGTATAATTAAAATGTCATATCGATGAAACAGAATTAATTTACTCTCTATATTAGTTAAACAATTAATTCCATTAAAAAAATGGATATATTTATTGAACTAAACTTAAAAACTTGTAAAAAAATATGTAACTTCTTATTTTAAAATATTCAAATTTCGCATCTAAGTATAATCTTACTCTATGAATATATGTCATAGAGAAAAATCTGTATGCAATGTATTTTGAAGCCAATGTAATGTGAAACAGAATTTGAATATAAACTACCATGGTTCAGATTTGTAAAGGCCAATCTAATACTAGTATTTTATAACTTTAGGATGATTATTAGTAGAAACGTACAAGAGACACATTTTTTCGACCTGACCCGAAGGAAGAAGACATCTTTCCGACCCGACAGCAAAATATTAATAAAAATTACTTATTTTTTAGTATGTTATAAGAAATAATCTTGATATGTAAGCCACAAAAGTCAAGGCATTCGGAGCTGTGAAAATTAATAAGAGGCGTGGTAAAGTGGGATGAAGCGTCCAGTACTTAGTCCCCCCATCTAGAAAAATATAACGTTAAAACAAATTTAAAGGGGAGCAAAAAAAGCAATGAAAGAATTGGTAATTATATTTATTTAAATCTCATAGTTAATATGCTTTGAGATTCAGAAGCCAACTGTCAAATAAAAGTTGGAATCAATTTTTTTAAAGATTAGATTTTAAAAATTTATTGTTCCTTAGGAGGGAAATGCATTCGGACGATTAACCCTGCCTGCCTGCGGAGATAATTTTTGTTAAATTTTGTCAAAAAAAGTTTCGTTTAAAATGTTTTCCAAAGACTCTAATATATTTTTTTTTGTAAAATAATATACAATCAAACCATAATTTATAGATATCATTGATTATATTCAAAATTAAACAAAAATATTTCCAACCCATACTTAACCCGATCTACATGAAAAATGATTTTCCCACCCGACCCAACGCGAAATAAAAATGATTACAAAACCCCGACTTGACCTAACCTACGAGTTGGGGTTTTATAATCTCTAATTATTAGTTTAATTTACTAAATTTTTTAGAACGTCAAAACTTAAAACGATAAGTTTTGTTTAAAAAGAAATTTTATCTTGATCTTACTCAAATTTAAATATGAATTCCTTGTTAAATCATACTATAAGTATATATACAATTTAAAATTTTATTCTAAAGAGTTTTATAAAGGTTTTATATTGTTATAACACGGAATTAAACTCTTTCTTTTTTAAAATGGCGAGTATAAATAAAGCTATTTTTTTATGGAAGTTGTCTTTCTTGTAGCTAAATATATAATCAGATCAACCTTTGATAATTCCTATAGCGACAACTGTTTATTATCAGAATGTCCTTCTTATTTTCAAATAATATGTATAAATGCATTATGTTTTAAATTTAACAAAATCAATTTATACAATTAATAATATTTATATTTTTTAAACCTTTAGGTTATTTTACATCCATGTAAAGTAAACTATATTAAACCAAATTAATATAAATTACCAAAATCATTTTTTTTTAAAGTCCCCTTTTTAATATTACTAACAAAGAATGATATCATTCATTTGGATATTAAATGCTTGGCTAGTTCTCATAAAAAGCCAGAATTTCGAATATCAACCTAATTTTCAACCAGGTTATCCTTTTGTAGTAGCGAATACTAATCGTCTTATATCAGAATGTGATATAGGAGATAATAAATTTTCACCGCAGTGCCAAATATTGAGCCAAAAATCGGATGTTCCTTTAACTTCGAGAGCTTCCTCAAGAATTAATGACAATATGTCAACAGTTAACTCGGAGTGCCGCCAGTTTAACGGTATTTTTAATTACTAAATAAATTTAATTTTTTATAAAATTACCATATAAAATAAAATCATCATAAAATTTAAAGGCTGAGATATAAATATCAAAAATCTCCAAGCTCAGCAGGGAGCGTCACATACAATTGTATTATTTTTAAAATCCGAGCCGAGCTTAAAAATTAAAAAAAAAACATATCAATAGGCCTCGAGTTTGTTTTAGAAAGCTTGGGACAGACCAATTTTTTTAAGGTGAATTTAAATTATATCAATTAAGAGGAAATTCGGAGAAAAATGATGAAATAACTTTATTTTACTGCTCATAATTTTTTACCTTTCAGATAATTATAAAATGCTGCCGAAATTATTTCAAATAAAAACATTTAAAAAGTCCTGGCTAGGCCGGGTTAAATTAAAAAACTTGGCTAGGCCAGAAAAAATTTATATAAACATTTAATCCAACAGGGTATGATGCCAGTAATATTAAATAATTGTTACTTTTGAATTATATATTTTTTAGATATTCTTTTGTAATTTTATTGAATTAATCTATTTTATATCAAGTAATAGTGGACTACATCAATGCGAATGTTATTGGGAAATTAGAGTTGATTTACAACTCATTGCTCAGAATTGAAGGTTATTTATAGATTAACTAATTTTGTTTATTTTTTTATAGATAAATGCTTAAGAAAATTAAACCCAAATATCTCTTCAGGAGATAACACCGACTCTATACATAATAGAGGAAACCAAATAAATACTACACCATTTGATATTCAGGTTCTTTTTATTTAACTTACAGATAATTTAAAAAAGTATCATTATAGTAAAGTAAGTAAATTTGTGCGAATATTTCTCTTATTCATTGCTTTAAAAGACACTATTAGTTTAGGAGTTAAGTCAATCTATAGGAATATTTATTATTTTTTTAGACTCCCACGGAAATTGATGTAAAAAATACTATAAGTGACATTACATTCACTCCAAGTACAATTTCTACCGCTCCTTTAACGGGGACAGTTTTTGAGACAAAACAAAATCAAATAACGACATCAGATGAAAATATTAGTCTATTCACTGAAGCGACTAGTTCTCCAATAACGACATCAAATGCAAATATAATTCTATTCACTGATGCAACTAATAAACCCCCTTCCCAGACTGATTTAACGGCCCAAAAGACAAACGATATCACTGATATTATTGATAGAGTAGTTTCTATAAGAACAACTGCTATAACTGAAATAACACCTAAACTAGAGGAGCCAATTGTGACGACAATTCTTCCAACCTTGCTGGAACCTGATACGGCCTTATTTAAAATATTAAAGATGAAAGGTACGAAAATCTCTACACGTAGTTGTATAAACATTTTATACAAATTTTATTAATTAACAGGCCTCTTAGCTTACTACCCCTTAAATAAAAATTTCGAGGATTATGGTAAAAATAAATGGAATGGAATAGAAGGTGGTGATGCCCAGATACAGACGTCGGATAAAGTTGTTGGAAAAGGTTCAGCAGAATTTTCTGGAAGTGGATACATAGATATAAACGGATTTAAAAATTATGCATGGGGTACCACCTTTAGTACAAGTCTTTGGTTCAAAAGAACTGGTAATCTTATCGACTAAAAAACATTTATATTGAAGATTTTTGTTTTCGTTTTTTTAATCGATTAAAATTCGAAATGATTTGATTAATACTAAGGTTTATTTTTGATATTTATAATTTCACGAATTCGAAAATTTAAATTGGTTCATTGACATTGTTAATTATTATATTTTATGTAATTAATAGGCCTATTTAGAGATTATTCTACCATTATTTCAAATGGTTATGCGGAAAAAGCTAGTTGGGATATTCGAATGGGAAGAGAAATGAATGGACAAAGATTGGGAGCGGGCATCATTACCAAATATAAACGCATAACTTGGGACTATGCCCGTCAGTCAAATTATAATTTTTTATCAAACTCTTATTTTATATTTTTACTTTTAACATCTAACCCATAAATTTACTTTTTAAAAAAATGGATGTTTTCTACATTTACAGTTAGCACGAATTCGTGGTGAAGTTAACAAAAAATTTATGTAAAATTATTAATTTATTTCATATTTTAAATGCTTCGCCCGCAAATTCTAACTAGGGTTATAAATTTATAACACCAATATATTCTTAAAATTATTTATCCCATTTTCTTAATAATTATCAAGTATTTTATAATGTATTAATATTTCACAATTTTTATGTAAAGAATCTTTCGCGCTCAAAGATGCTTGGCATCACGTTGTTTTAACTTACGATGGAAGAAGATTACTTTTTTATTTGGATAATGCGGCCGAATTAGGTATTATTTGCAACAACAAAAAGAGTTGATAGTACAGGACTATAATTAGAAATTTTTTCTTTCTCGTAGCTACGGCTGTTATGGTGGCTCTAAAGAGTTGGTCATAGTAATTGCTTGGATCTTATAATTTATCACTTTTTATGTATGATTGTTATCTCATTTATATTTAACAGATTACACTCTTAACTTTTTTTAATATATTTTTTTAAAGGAAATTCTTTTTGCTGTCAAGGAGATATCAAGGTAAACCCAAACCCATTGACAATTGCTAAAGCTGGTTACGGAGGAAATGGTGAATTTTTTATTGGGAATATTGACGAAGTTATCTTATTCAATCGAACGTTAACTGCTGCTGATGTAGATTTTTTGTATAACCTCAAGAAACACTGATAACATATTTTTTATCAACATATTTTAAAAATTTATTATTTTTTAAATTTACTTGTTATAACTTTTAATATGTGTAGTGTCTTTTTAATTTACCACGAATAAACAGTTTTATCTTAATTGAATGTATAAAATTATATCTTCTCTATATAAAATGATAATTTCTAAAGATTATAAACTGTAGTATAAATAGAGGTATGATTTTAAATAAATATCAATATAAAAAAGGTTGAAGGTCACTGTAAAAAGTATGATTGAGGTAACGATCATCGGAGAATAGATTGAAATAAAAGATAATATGAGAACTTTTGGCAAGTAGTAAGAAACTTTAATAAATTAAGGTTTGAAAGACCCTGTAATCTATAACTAAATGGTTGCTAAAAAATAATCAACAATATATAAAAATATGAATAAATAATTTTACTATCACTTATTACATGATCTAACATAATTATAAAAAAATAAGACATAAAAATTAAAAATATAAGTAATAATAAAAAATTAAAATTAAAAGAAATATCAAAAAAAGTTAATAACTAAAACAATTGTTAAACAGTTTCTACAATTAACTCGCGCTTTCATCTCATACATAACAAAATTACTTATCTAACAAAATATACTGTCTGTGATACCAATCTTCATAATTCGGTAAGTAATTTTGCATATAATTATAAGCCATAGTATATCACAATATCCGTACAAATATGTTGGTTTTCGAATCAAGGTTGGAACTGGATTGATAGTAATATCGTTAAATTGAAGCAAGCTAGAACATTTAAAAATTCCTAACTATGTAACTCATGCCTTGTTTCGTTAAATGGTTTACTTTTGGGCAAAACTTTCCGGCTAAAAAAAATTTCCAAACATAATTAGAAATCTTATTTGATATAGTGTTGTAAACGAACGCGTTCAAAATGTACGCGTTCGTGAACGAAGTTCGTTTTTTTGGAAAAAATGATGAACTTCGTTCCTTTTTTATGACGAATGCGTTCGAATTTAACGTTTGTTCAATTTTAAAAATATTTTTATTTATTTGAAAAATTTAATATTTCCGAATTTTTTTAAAAAATGTATTAATTATATTTTTTAATCGGCTGTGTATTTCCTTTTCACATTTCAATTTTTTTAACACATAGTTTATTAATTTGAATATTATTGTTTATATTTTAATTTAATAGATTAGCATAGGCATGAATATTATTATTTAATCCTCATCATCTGATTCTGAAAATCCAAAATCAGATGAATTATCATTACTATGGCCAAATATGATAAATGTTTTACATTAACATCCTATATTGAAGGAACTAATCCAATGCTTACCAAGTGTAAAATGTGGCCAAAAAGTAATATATTGTCAAAATCTTCAGGTTCCAATTTAAAACGACATTTGATTTTAATATTAATTATTTGATTTTATATGATATAACTAAGTTAAATCATTAAATTTGAAGAAATAATGCATTTGGGATATTTGACCCCAACAATAACGATAGTTATTTTAAAATTAAAAAAATTTGTGGCCTCAAATATGGTCAACCATTGATAGACGCCGTATTAAATGGGATTAATAAAAGGTATTAAATATCACTCTCAATTAATTACATATATTTTATTTTTTTAAAGATTTGAACATATATATATAAGGATCAATATGTTCTTTCTGCAATTATACATCCAGCAAACTTCAATGGCCATGGATAAAACTTCCTCAGAACGAACCTATTAAAAATAAACTTATAGCGTTATTAAAAAGAATGCTTTGAAAACCCTAGAGAACTATTAATTTCGAGATATCCTTTTTGTCGAGTAGAGAATGGATTGGAGAAGGATAACTTATCTCAATTTTTTATAAATAACAAAACAATATGTTTTTTATGTTTTTAATTAATTCTCCACGTTAAAAGAGCTGTTTATCCCTCATCTGCCCCTGTAGAGCGCATTTTTAGTTTAACTAATGCCGTATTAACTGCCAAGTCTATCAGATAAATATTTTGTAAACAATTGTTATTAAAATTTAATAAGAAAAATTTTTTATAAATAAAAATATCTTTTTATTTGCTATATTATATTATATTATCAAAATAAAACTATATTATTTTTTAACATGGCTAAAATATATTTTATTAAAAAATATAAGTTTATTCATATTAAATTAAATTTTAAAAAAATTTATCATAAAATTTTGAACGGTTTTATGAACGTGAATGAACGCGTTCCTTTTTTTTGAACATGAACTTATGTTTACAGCACTAATAACTGATTTTATTTAAGTAAATTATGACCAGTTACTCTAGAGCAATGCCAATAGTTCTTATAAGTCTATATTATTTCTAAGTAATAGGCTTCTTAGGTGATTAATATGATTTCGGTATGAGGAATGAAAAAAGGAAAAATTTCGAATCAGGATTTTATCATCATGTTTGTAGCCAGTGCAATAATAAACTGCAATCCCATATTGGATCTAATTTTTGATATATTTATTAATTTACTAATTTTTTGATATTAGATATATTAATTTTTATAAAATATAAATATTTAGATATAAAAATTATTTTCAATAAAAACTGCAATTCCATAACACTTTTGATATTTTAATTGACTCACTAACTTTTTCATATTATATACTTGAGGCTAATAATGAAGACATTTAAATAAACACTACTCTTTCAAATAAATACGCTATGATACAATTTTAGTTACAATTAACTTGCTCAATATTATATAAATATATGTCATTGATAAATACTGCTCAAGTTATTTTTTGATAAAAGAATACTTAACATTTTGATAAACTTACTGATGGAATTGCGAAAACTAATTTATTAAATAAAAAAAAATTTTTTCACTATTATACAACATATCTAAATTTTAAAGTTTATATAGTATTATAAAATAATAAAAATTTGAATATAAAATAAAATATATAAGTTAGTAAAATTCGCGTTATATTTTATAAAAGTTTATGTAGAAATCGCGATATATTTTTAAAAGGTCATAAGTAGAAATCGCGATATATTTTTTAAAAGGTTACTCAAATATTATAATTATTTTAATTTTATTTTATTAATCTATTATTTTATTTTACATTTTATTTCACGTCTACAACATTCCCCTCTCTGAGAAATCCTACATTTATTTTTTGCGATCGTCGATTTCTTATAGCAAATAAATTTCGTCGTGGTTTGTTATCGCGAATTAGTCGTCGGGTTAATTTGTAGTTTATCGATCTTGTTTGTATGTCAATAAGTGGCATAAATATCTTTTAGCACTATCATCGTCATCGGCTTGGTTATCCGTATCGAAGCCATTCACGTGTTGATTTGAGACATCATAGCATCATCGTGGTATTTAAGTACAATTTGAAAATAGTTTGTTGTTATCATCAAGTTTATATTATTTAATTTCAATATTTATGAATATTTCTATTTATTCTAAACAAATTTAATTTTCTAATCGTCTTTTATTTTGAATATTTCATCAAATTACGAATATCTTTAAAATCTTTATTTTAAATATCATTAATTTACGAATATCAACTTAAATTTTTAATTTACTTATATTTTTTTTTAAAATCAATTACTTTTAAATTATTAATTGCTTTAAATTTTCCTTAACTTTCCCCTCCTTGAAAATATGAACATGAGATAAAACAGTTAGGTTTAATCAAAATTATGAACTTGGAAATGTCTTTCTTATATTTTATCATATTTTGGCATAATTATTATCATATCCTAACTATTTTATTATTATATTGTCATATTGAATTCACCATTTTAATCTAGTTATATAAGAATCGCTTTTCGCCTGGGGTTGGTTTGAATTTTCGTCATCAACGTTAGCTTCTGAGTCATATAAGAATCGTTTTACGCCTGGGGTGGTCTGAATTTTTGTCATCATCGTTAGCTTTCAAGAACATATCATCCAATAAATTTTTCACCTTTGAAGTTTTCATCTGCTTGCCAAGTGTCCATATGTTTTAATTAAAGTTTATATTTAATTTAAATTCAATCCGCTGCCACCATGATGGAAACATATGATTTTAGCCAAGATTGCGAAAACTAAAGTATTATAAAAATAATATAAATTTGAATATAAAATAAAATATATAAGTTAGTAAAATTCGCGTTATATTTTATAAAAGGTTTATCTAGAAATCGCGATATATTTTATAACAGGTCACTCAAATATTATAATTATTTTAATTTTATTTTAAATTAATATTTTAATTTTATTTTATTATTTTACATTTTATTTCACGTCTACAACACTTACTGTCCAAAATTTTAAAATACTGCCCAAAAGATTAATTTGTTGATTATAAAAATACTGCCCATTTTGATTAATTTAATGCCCAAAAAAATCATAGCCTATATTTAACTTTAAAGCAGGAACTATGTTTGTAATAAACTTTTGAGTAATTCGAATTTCTTTCATCCACACGAAAGTATATAGACGACCATTATATTATATGCCACAATTCAATATTATTTAGTTATATATTTATCATAAAATAAATGAGATTAAGGTTTTAGTTTATTTATATTCATAATTTTTCCTATTGTAATTGTTTTACTATTGAAATAACACAATATATATCCTTTTCAAATGCTGCACTTTTTAAAAATAAAAAATAATGACTTTTCAAAATATATTTGCTTTCCTTTCATATCCTAAATAACTTAAGATTTGTTTTTATTAACAATGATTTTTTTAAACTCAACAATTATTAACTTCTCAACATAATTTATAAATATATATTTGAGTGGCATTAATTTAGATAAAATTCTTAAGAAATTTTTATTAGAAAGCTGTTTTACGGGTATTTTTCTGTTATCAAAGTATTAAGTAAGAAGCTTGTCATATTTTGTTTGTTTTTCTAAGATAATAAACCTTACTCTCTATGATATCTATGCAATATATCTTAATATATATTTATATACACCTGAATAATATTAATGTTTTATTACCAGCTCCCTGTCATAAGTTATTATCAATAAATATTATGTTAATTTTTTTTATCGAATCTAAACTAATTGTTTTTTTTCAAAAAGCAACCATTAAATTTATATTTTGTATATATTAAAAAATACTTAAAATCTCATACTGATTTTGTTTGCAATAAGATTATTATATTCTTAATTAATGCAATTTATATGATGTGCAATATTTTAACTTTGAATTTTTTAGAGGAATGTATAAAACTACTTATAATTTAATTTAGTAAAGAATACTATGTAGCACAGAGGTAAATTATAGGTGAACCTCTTTTTTCTTATTGTTATAATATTTAATTTAGCTTATAAAATAGTTAAAAAATATAATATTTTGAAATGTTAATATATAATAAAAATAATTAAATTTCGAATTTTGTGAAAAATTTTATGAAACATGATTTTTGAAAAAAACCTGGCCAAAGGCCGAGATCCCTATAGGAAAATTCCTAAGTACCCATTACCTAATACATTATAAACAAACAAAAAAATATTTTAATATAATATCTACTGTATCATAATTATATAATATAACAATATTTGAAATAATAATTATATTTAATGAATATTAATTATATGTTTTTAAAAAAATTAAAAGTAAATATAAATTTTTAAAAGAATTGTCGATCCTTGAACAACTCTATCAAAAAACCTTGGATGAGTGGAAAATAATGATAATAATGCTGAGTAGCAGATTAAAATGATAATCAGCTTTAAAAGAAAATCATAAAACTTTATGATGATTTATTAAATATAATATTCATATACATAATTTAATTTATATTAAGATACATAATGTAAATATTATAAAAATATATATAAAATAAATTAATCAGAGATGGCGACAAAAATTTTCTAATATACTATAATGTATGATGTTGATTATAAATGGGCAAGGTAACATTTCATAACTAATATAAATAAAATTTGATAACAAATTATTTTAATTCTATTGAATAAAAATAATATTCATATTGTGCTTGTCATTTTTCGAGTTTATTTATTATCATATGAATTATTACATTAAGGATTTATCATTAACCAAAAGTACTCATTAAATATGTTAAATATTTTTGGTTAAGTGATTATATTTCACTGGAAAGCTATTTAAAACAGTTTATTCAAATACTTAAAGGCTAGTTGTTATAATAAAATTTCCAAAAATATGTAATTTAATTTTAATTTGTTTTCATTATATCATGATTATTTAAAAACAAAGAACTTTGAAAGCAAATCTAACAAAAAAAATTTAAGGTTGTTTACCGTGCCTTTTAATATGGCACCTCATATGATCAGCTCGGGTAAAACGTTTTTCACAAATGTGGCATTTAAAAGGTCGTTCCCCAGTGTGAGTTCTAAAATGACGGTTCAACTCGTCCAGCCTTGGAAACCTCCAAACGCAATCAGGCCAACTGCAGGCATATGGTCTTTCTCCTAATGTGTATAATTTTAATGTCAATTATAAATCATATTATGCATAAAACTTATTGAACAATAATTTGCCATTTTGTATTTGAAATCTCAAGCGCATAATATATTTTAAATATAAGCAAGAAGTATTCATTTTTTTAATCAATAATCAAGAGATAAGAAAACCCAGTATGGCACAAATGATATGATGATTTCAAATCTTTAAATAGACTAAAAGATGTTACAATAATGAAAATGACATATTTTTAATTTTTTTATCTGAATAGGTTATTTACGATTAGACTGACCTTTAGTTTCATTTAAATCTTCCATTGTATCCTTGAAACAGATAGGTTTCATTTTAAAATCTTTTTTGATATCAGTGGTATTTTGGGGGTTGACTCGGAAATTATTTTTATTTACAATAGTTTTATTAATTTGTTTTGAAGAAAGCAAACATGATATCATATGTTCTTTATTATTCGGAGAAAGGGTGGAAAGTAGTGCCTTAGTCATTTGAGTAGATAGAATCGAAGCACTAAATTGTTGTTCTCTGTTCAAGTATTGTGTGTAACAATTTGTTAAATAAAAAATATTATTTAGCTAAATGTTATATTAATTTTATCCTAAATAAAAAATACATAATTAAAACTTTTAATGTTGATTACCTTATATGGTGACATTTCCAATGAACAATCAGGTATGGGCAAATGACTTTAAAATTCAAATGTAGTGTTGAATCAGCTAGAAACTATGCTTAAGCCTTATTAGACTTAGTCTACAAATGTGCCAAACCTAATTAGGCTTAACCTAAAAATCGACTATATCTAATTAAGCTTAGCCTAAAAATCGACTATACATAAGTAGGCTTAGCCTAAAAATAGGCTAAAACTAAATTAGTCAAAAATTCTGCATCCACTAATCGTCCGTCAGCGTTCCATAAAATATGCCTAGCATAAATTATTATTTATTTATTTTTAGTAAAATAAATATTTTATTTATATTTAATGTTAATATTTTATTATTCTCGACAAATAAACATATAAGATTTATTATTTTTTATAAACATATTTTTAACGAAAATAAGAATATTCGCATATATACAAATGAGAGGAAGATTTTCTTCCAGTTCTGGGAAATTAAAAAAAAATAATAAAAAAATTCTTAATGCATCAAAATCTAAAATTAGGCCAATTGAACAAAAAAAGTATGCAATTCTTAAAACTTTTGAATAATGAAACTTTGAATTATTATTACATCAAAAAATTTCCACCAATATCCAGTCCAGACCATCACATATATATTTTTATTTGATAAGAATTTTTTCTTCTTTGTAAATAAATCTTTTTTGAGGAATTCTTTTGTGTTTATTTAAACAATCTTTTAGGTGAAATCTTTTATAATTTTTTTTTATCATTTTTGTAAAATTATCTATTTTTTAAGTATATTAAAAGAGATGGTTTAAATAATTTTTTCAAATATTTTTATTTTTTATGTTATTTTATATGATCTTTTTAATAATATTTTTAAGTGACTATTGTCATAATCGTTATTTTTAAAGTTTTTTTAATTTTTTGACGCAAATGGTTAAAATATAGATTGTAAACCTTTTGAATTAAAATTTCATGAAGATGTACCATAGATAAGTGATAATTGTCATAATCGTTATTTTTAAAGTTTAAACTATATTTTGCTTAAAATTTTGGGTGTGAAAATCACTAATAAACTGTAACAAAAATAATATTACAATAGCAGCATATCATTTTTTTATTAAAAAAACATTAAATAAATAAATCGATTTTTAAAATATAATCATATTTCATTATAAAAAATATTAAATCATATAAGTTTATTTGTTGATAATAATAAAATATTAACATTAAATATAAAAAAAATAAATTATTTTACTAAATATAAATAATAATTAATGCTAGGCATATCTTAAGGAACGCTGACGTATGATTAGCCAAAGCAGAATTTTTGACATTTAGTTTTAGCCGATTTTTAGGCTAACCCTAATTAGGTTTAGCCGATTTTTATGCTAAGCCTAAGCCAATTTTTTCACCTAAAATCTTGGCTAAGCCATTTTGTAGTTAAATAAAATTAGCCGATTACACAACACTAATCAAATGTAATATATTACAATTCAAAATTATTTCCAAGCATATTACAATTAAAATTTCGTCAAATGACAAGCATTACATTTGTTAGGTCTATTCATGAATAGTAAATTATTTGTTGATTAAATTTGAGTAAAAAATTATTCATTCAAATTATTTGAATAATTCATTTATTCAACAAATTAATAGTTTTCATTGAATTATTCAAATTAATTATTAAGCATTTCTTTAATAAAATTTAAGCATTTGTCATTAAAACCTATTATAAGTTGACAGGTGATATGATTAACAAGATATACTTCAACTGCTCATGAAAGGCTTTTCATAGTTGACACCAATTTGTCAAAAAAATAGCATGCTTTATAAAGAGATATCAGCCTTAAAAATTGGGTTGACATTATAAATTAAATTAATATTTTTAATCAGTAATAAATTGATTGCAATTAACATAAAATTATTATAAAAATTGTGAAAAAACAATAGTAAATTATTCAATTCTTTTAAATATGAATAATATATTTTTCAATTAATTATATTCATTTAAATAGGCCAAGCATATGTTAAAAAAAAATTATATCACAACTTTAATTATTTTAGGCAAATAATAACTATAATGCAATAGTTCTACATGTCTGGCCTTTCATCTAATGTTGTTAAAAAGCCCGCATTTGGATCAATTATAAAAAAATGGCCCAATAAGATTATAAACAAAATAACATTATGCAAACATCAAGATTTGTCAAACCCAAGCACAAAATCTTTAGGATTATATAATATTATATATGCTAAAATCTTAATTGGGTCAAGAGGGCTTTTTAACAACACTATTTTCATCAAAATATAGACTTGGATAGTAGCTTAAAAATTATTTTCCCTCTTTTAAATGATTAAATAATCATAAAGAATGTAAAAAATAAGAAAAGTCTTTTAAAAAATTATGTTAAAAATCATTTTCTATTCATTTTTATAAATTTTGTAATAAAATAAGCATTAAATTATAAAACTTATTGCTGAGACAAACTATATTAAGGTTGAGTTTTGAAACAAAAAATTGAAAGTTGCACTAAGTCATGTGGTATTTTTAATTATATTTTGAAAAATTTTTTCTTTTATATTTTTTCTGTACCACAAAATTGAATTTAAAAAATAAAATATATGAATTTGTTAGTGTTATTTAAAATAACATTGCAATTAGAATAAAAATTATACTAAACTTTGTTGAAGGATTCTGTGATTCACAAGTTTTGTGTTTTAAATCTTCTATAAGAAATGGCTCATATTCTTTAATGTTTGTAGGATATTTTTCTAAATAGCCATTATAAAAAAAATTTAAAGACTTTATACCTGAGTTAATGTTGGGAAAATTATCTGATCTAGTGTGGTTAATATTTATATGTGATTGATGTAGTATCTTTACAATTGCAGGCAATATTATATTAAGTTTAAATAATAGCTCATTTAATTTATCATTATTGGAGTTCTGTGAGAGGTTTGAATCTGTCATTTGCTCAGTTTTAATATGTTCCATTTTATTATTATCGGTAAATAAGTTAGAGTTCTTAAAAATTTTCAGAACAATCTGAATTAATGACTCATAGTCCAAAGAGATCACATTATTTTGTTTGGGTAACAAATGTTTATATTTACTCAAAATAAAGGTATTATCTATAAATTTAATAAGAATTACATTGAAGCTTCTTTAATTTTGTGTAGAGGAATAAGTTTTATCTTTCCAGACTTTTCAGGATTTAGTTTCATTTTTGATGGTCGTAATGGATGTTGAATAAGTTCACCTTTTAAAATAAATTTAAAATATAATCAACTATTATAACCATTCTCATTATCCATTTTGGCCAGTTCCGTTTTGAGAAAAAAAATATCTCTAGATTCTAAAAAGTTAATATAAGAAAAAAAAATTGATCATAATTCAAAACCTGTCATTATATTTTAATTTATGATTTTGATTATTGTTCAACTCATGGAAATTATTTTATCACATGACTAGCAAGATTTGACAAGTTAATCATTGACAAGTTAATCATTGAGAAGTTATTAATAAAAGTTATTAAATTTCAAAAAACCATTTTTATTTTATCTTGATCCTAACTCATATCTCTCAAATCTTTAATTAACCCTGATCTCGCTAACTTTTAATTCTACATAATTGTTTAAATTTAAATATATTTCATTCAATTTAAAATTTGCTTGAGTTGCATACTGAGTTAATAATTTCTTGTTTATTTTTAAAAATATATTGTTAAAAATATAGGTTTTCAAAAAAATAGAGTTAATACATCAAACCTTGGCTTTAATCGTTGCATATAAAATTCCTAACCTACTCTACAAGTCCAAGCCCGTTCAAACATGAGGTCAGCCTATTTTAGTGGCTATCAAATTTTGGTTCTTAGCATTGATTTTAATTTTTTCCAATGTTTACAATTTTTCCTTTTTAAAGCTAATATTTTTGATTTCTTTTTTTAAGCTAATAATTTTAATTTCCATTTTTGCTAACTTTTAATTGCATTATTTACTTTTTTGGGGGGTAATTTTGATTTTCTTATTTTTGCTATTCAGCTTTACTTTTCATAAGGCTTAGGCCATAGGCATATTCATGGTTTTGCTATGAGATGAGGCACCAAATGTAGGTTCTCTCCCAATAAATTTTATTGGAGGTCTTTACCTTAAGGTAAACCTGTTGTAGGTTGCTGGCTATAGGGATGTAAAAAACCCCCATTCAGGGCGATCTTAAAAACAATCCGATAAATATATCCAAAATAATATTTAGTACCCAGGATTTGGAAAATTGAAGTCCAAACCTTTCTACCATCTATTAACACCATCTCGAAGCTAATATAAAATTATTTTGGGTAAAATCTTAATCGTGCATATTAATAAACCAGTATCAGGCCATATTTGGCTATATTACAATTTTATAACAATATTTATAGTGTTTGTTTTTTTTATAAAAAAAAATTTTTTTCTAAAATTTTGAATTATAGACTTTATTTTAAAAAGTTATTAACTTTTATTGTTTTCTTACTTTATTTATAGAGATATATTTTTACATTCCTAGATGAGTGGGTGGTGGTGGAGGGGGGAAGCTTAAGAGGGATTCGCTAAAAATACTATTTACAAAAACAGGAAAATTTGCGATGGGGGGGGGGAATATCCCACCCTTGGTTCCACGAACGGCTTAATCAAACTAGGGGTTTTCAAGGATTACTTACATTTTGGCCAGGCCTATCTAATTTAGCTTGGTGTTGTATAAAATATTATATTTCTAATCAAATATAAACTGTTGTTTTATGGAAATTCGATATAATATTGTTTATTTTATCAAAGAATTCAATATATTTTAATAAATTCATAAAAGGTTTATTTTATTAAAGAATCAAATTTATTTTTCACTGAAAATGCAAATAAAATTCGTTGTTTATATAATAAAATATTTAATTAAAATTATCAAGGTAACAAAATGACCTTTCGAAATAAATTGTAACTTGTATAATATCATTAACAATTAGAATTTGTATATTTTAATGTCATCAACAAAAAAAATAAAAACAATTTAAAATTTGAATGTCATTACCAAAATAAAAAAAACAAATAGTTTAAAGTAGAATTTAAAAAAACAATTACAACTACGTAATATCTCACTCTTTTTTTATAGTTTTTACCCTCTGTCTAACATCTTATCGTTTATCTTGCTTACCGGTTTCTTTATCATTTATTGTTCGTTTATCCTTCATTGATCTTGATAGTTATCGTTAGTCATCACTAGTATATTTCATTGGTTTTCATCCACAAAAAAAAAATCTTGTTTATATAATAGCTAATGAAAGTTTATTTTAAATTTAAAAATTCTTTAAAATAAAATTAATTTTAAAATTTATTATATATTTTTTTTAAATCTTTTTTATAATCATTATAATATTTTCGAATTTTTTAGGCAATATCATAGGCGTATCCGGGATTTTTATAAGGGGGGGGGGGGAATTAAAAAATTACTGGGGCTTCGCCCCCAGACCCTCTTTTGGGCGGGTCTTCGGCCCGCTTTTCCCCGGCCTTCGGCCTGGTTACTTTAGTCTATATATAGTCATAAAATATTTTTGCAAATTTTAATAAAAAATAAATAAGCCTGGAACAAATATGAAATATATTTTTATTAGTTTATATAAAATAAAAATATAATAAATTACTTGTATAGTATATACCTTAATATAAAAGCATGGTAATAATTTATTCCAAACAATTATAAGAAATTTATTTATAAAAAGTAAGTAGACATATAGTTGATTTTACTCTATTATATGGAATTAGTTGTAAAATACTAGGTAAAATTCCACTTTTACAGACATATTTGATAGTTAGTGAACAGTTAATAATTTAACAAATTTTACTAATTAATGCTCTTGATATTAAATATAGCAACAATTTGCATTCAATTATTTATCGCCATCTATTTATTTTAAGTAAAAATTATTGTTAAATTTAATCTTCATATTATTCATCCCACAATGTCTTTAAAAGAAATTTTCTGATGTCCTTATCAATATTTTATAGTTTTCTGTAAAATATATTATTCGCTATATTGGTAAAAATTACTTGATTGTCATTTGATAATTAGATATACTGTAAATCTACGACATATAATATTCCACTGTTTGTATTGTGCTTTAATATCTTTTTAATTTATGATTTAATTTTATCAATTAAGATAAATAAATTAAAATTATTCACTTTATAAAAAATTATATTTGATATATTATATTATTTAGTAATTTTATGGATCATTCCATTTATTAAAAAACATTTTTGGTTCATTTTATATATTTATAAATTTATTTTCCCAAAAATCTATAAATTATGATGAATAGTTATATAAAAAAAATATCAATTTTACATTCTTTCTTTTAAATTATTATTTAAGATATATGCATACATATTTGAGGGTCAGGGAGTGGGGGGAGGACTAAGGAGGATATTTTTTATTAGCTAAAAATGATATTTACAAAAAGTGATAAATTTCTGAAGGGGGGGGGAATTACCCTTAACCCCCCCCCCTGGCAACGCCTATGGGCAATATTATATTTCTGAATAGTATTTGACTGTTAGGACTCTGATCTTGTATTTGAATACTTTGATTTCGTACTGTTGTTTGCATTTAATTAAATAGTTTTTTTTATATAAATTTGAATAGTTATGGAAAATATAAAGTTGAATATTTAGAGTTCATGTAAAATATGAATATGTACACGATGAGATTATGTGATATAGATTTTAGTAGTATAAATATAGAGATAAAAATGTTATAAAAAAGAAATTTTTATATTTTTTAGTTTGACTTTGATTTTATATTTTTCGTTGATTTGATATTTTTCGTTGATTTGATATTTTTAATTGATTTTATATTTTTAATTGATTCTATATTTTTAATTGATTCTATATTTTTAATTGATTTTATATTTTTAATTTATTTTATATTTTAGTTGGATTTCATATTTTTATGTTTTAGTTTAATAAATTAAATGGACATCTTCAATTCGTGTTCATATTAAATATTGAACTTCTATTATTAATAAATTTTAGTATCTAAAGATAAAAATGATAATAATATGAATATATCCATAAGATCACATGGTAAAATTTTAATAGAATATTATGACTGTAAAAATAATGATATAAATCTTAGTATTAAAAAAATTAGTGAAAATGTATTATTAAAAGAAATTTCAGTAAATAAGAAAACTGTTATAACGTGAATATAACACATATTCCCGGTGGCTAAAAAGGTATTTTCGATTTTAAATTCTTGTTTCTGCAGAAATCAAGAAGTTTCTTGCTTTCCACGCTATTCGGTTGTAATATGGTAGGCCCGGTGGCATTACTGCTAACATATTCTGCTTCTTTGCCAATTTTCATGTTTAGATCGCCTAGAATTAGTATATTATATCTACACAGTAGGGAGTGGATCATATTTATCCTTATGTCGATGAAGTCGAATTTTTCGTTTCTATTTGATGGGACATAATTTGCTATTATTGTGTGGGCCTTAAATTTGTGCTCATATAGAGAAGACCACATCTTTCAGATATGGATACGAATTTGATGATGAATTTATATATACGTTTATTTATTAGGAATGTTATCCCGGAATATCTGTTGGAATTAGTATATAAGCAAAATATTTTAATATCCTTAAAGTTTACAGTGTTATTCCCAAGATATTAGGTTTCTTGAATACCAATAATGTCTACTTCCTCCACTTCTAACATCCATAAGTGAACAGCTAGTTTATTTTTCATTCTATTAATATTTAGGGGCGCAATTTGTGAATTCCCTGTAAATTTATTCACCATTTGGCAATACTAACTTGAAACTTTGAAAAAATTTATAAGGATCCAGGTGACGTTGGAAAGAATTTTATTTGACTTAGATTAAAAATCTAAAATAAAAATTTTTAGTAGGAGAAATTTAATTTAAAAGAATTTTATGAGAAAAAAGGGGGGGGGGAGGCTTCGAAAGTTGAGATTTATCTTTTCGGATTAAAATTTATTTTAATATATTCTTCCCAAATAATCTAACTTTTGAAGATATCCCATTTTTTTAAATAACACACCTTTACATATTAATATGAGTAGTGTTGTTAAACGACTCGTTTTGAGCCGATTTTTAAAAACGGCTAACTCAATATTTTAGCCAGAAAAATGTTGCCTAAGCCCTGAGATTTCGTTGATAGATGTCCAAACCTTTGTTCATTCTACAAGCAAAATCTTCAGGCTTGCGTAATATTATTTTGGGTGGAATATTGAGTTAGCCGTTTTTAAAAATCGGCTCAAAACGAGCTGTTTAACAACACTAAATATGAGTATTAGTTTATCGCTGGATGATAATTTTTTAATTAAATATTATATTATATAAATCTAATATTAAATATTTTCCAATTATTAACATGTCTAATTTGTAAGTTGTGTATATAAACAACGCATTGTTGAAAATATTCATTTCTTTAAAATTTTCAAGTTACGATATGAATTTCGATACCTATGGGCATTCACAGAATTTAAGCTTCCTAGATACAGAAAGATCATCATTTCTAGGAAGCGGAACTCAACATTCGCAATTTGATATAAACGATTTTAATATCCCTTCTCTTGATGGATTTAATCAATCTCAAAGTGATCTTTTTCCAATAGGATCAAATTTTAATGTAATTCAAAATATATGCTATATATTTTTAGCATGATATAGGCAAAGAAGAATGAGAATAAAGATCTTAACGGTGATAAGGACATTGCATTGATGATGCAAAGTATGAATCAATTAAATTTTGAAGATGATGAAGAAGAATCTTTTTATACAAAAAACTTACCATCTTATGCTTGCAAGTTATTTTTAACATGACATATAAAAATATATTTAATTACAAAGATATTGTGGAATTCATGATGTTGCTTCTGTTGTTTTATGTAATGGTTGTAAAAAGTGGTTTTGCAATGGACGAGGTAATACTTCAGGAAGGTAAAATTTAGTATATTGATAATATAAATAAATAATTTTATAGTCATATTATCAATCATTTGGTTAGAGCCAAACACAAAGAAGTTACACTACATAAAGATGGACCACTAGGTGATACCACACTTGAATGCTATAATTGTGGTTGTAAAAATATTTTTTTATTGGGATTTGTGCCTGCTAAAGCTGATTCTGTAGTTGTTTTGTTATGTCGTCAGCCATGTGCTACCAGCTGTAATGTGAAAGATATGAACTGGTAGACAAATATTTAAATATATTTTTGAATTTTAATAATGTATGACTTCATTTTATTTAAAAAATTATAATAATTAAATAAATATTAGAGATAAGCATTACCTATTTAAAATTATTATTAGACTCCATATAATTTTTTTTTGTTCGCAATACCATCCTTTTTGTGATATCAACAAGTTTTTTTTAAAAAGGGAAATATAAATTTATAAAAAACCCATTAGAAAATTACAAAATATATATTATAAGATTTTTCTCATTCATTTCTATAATTAATTTTAATTTAAACATAATGTCTTTGAATTTTAATGAAGCTGCTTTGTAATTTATTTTCTTGTATATTTATTCTTTGGAATAATCTTAAATACACAATAAATTTTAAAAAAAATAAGAAAAGAATTAATGGTGTCCTTTTTATTATCAATATTGGTTTTATGATTATTATTTGAAAGTATATTGGGTATTTATATTTATAGAAACTAATATTTTGCTTTTAAACAGAGTTGTGAACTTGATAATAATATTAAATTGGTTCGGTTAAAGGTAAAAAATTTAATGGGTTTAGATTCAGTATAGCTGAATATTTTTGAACTGGGTTTAATTCTATGTTCAGCTCTGGTTTTCCAATATTTGACTTGTATATAGTGTTGTTAAAATGCCGCGAGTCGCGACCCCGACCCAAAGCTCGGGTCGTTTTATTCGACTCCGACTCAATGTTTGGGTCGTTTTTTTCGACTTCGACCCGAGTTCAAGCCGAAAAAAACGACTTCGACCCAAAATATGGGTCGTTTTTTTCGACTCCGACCCAAGTCCAAGCCGAAAAAAACGACCTCGACCCAAAATATGGGTCGTTTTTTACGACCCGACTCAAAATTTGGGTCGTATTTTTCGACTCAAACTTGAAATTTGGGTCGTATTTTTCGACTTAAACTTGAAGTTTGGGTCATATTTTTCGACTCAAACTTGAAGTTTGGGTCGTATTTTTCGACTAAAACTTGAAGTTTGGGTCGTATTTTTCGACTAAAACTTGAAGTTTGGGTCGTATTTTTCGACTCTAACTCAAAGTTTGGGTCGTTTTTCTGACTCAGACTCAAACATCGGGTCGTTTTATTCAATCCGACCCAAAATATGGATCTTTCTTTTTAAAGACGACTTAAAGTTAGGGTTGCTTTTTTTCACCCCTAACCCAATATCTAGATCATTTTTTTCGACCAAAAGTCAAATAACATTTAGTATATATTAATATTATAGGCGGGAAAGTTACTTAAAGCTTCTTTAAATTATGATGCTCTGATTAACTATTCATCATAGTTATATTTTAAAATTTTTAAGTGATGTACCATAGAAAAGTGCCATTTGTCATGATAATTATTTTTGAACTTTTTTAAATGAAATAGAAAAATATATATTGTAGACATGTTAAATCAAAATTTCAGTGATGATGTACCATAGATAAGTGGTAATTGTCATAATCGCTATTTTTGAACTTTTTTGAGTTTTTTTAAAGCAAATTGCTAAAAATATATATTCTAAACATGTTAAATTAAAAATTCAGTGAGGATGTATCATAGATAGGTGACAATTGTCATAATCGCTATTTTTGAACTTTTTTCAATTTTTTTAAAGGAAATAGCAAAAAATATATATTCTAACCATGTTAAATTAAAAATTCAGTGAGGATGTATCATAGATATGTGACAATTGTCATAATCGCTATTTTTGAACTTTTTCAAATTTTTTTAAAGGAAATATCTAAAAATATATATTCTAAACATGTTAAATTAAAAATTCAGTGAGGATGTATCATAGATAGGTGACAATTGTCATAATCGCTATTTTTGAACTTTTTCAAATTTTTTTAAAGGAAATAGCTAAAAATATATATTCTAAACCTGTTAAATTAAAATTTCAGTGAGGATGTATCATAGATAGGTGACAATTGTCATAATCGCTACTTTTAAACTTTTTCAAATTTTTTTAAAGGAAACATCTTAAAATATATATTCTAAACATGTTAAATTTAAAATTCAGTGAGGATGTATCATATATAGGTGACAATTGTCATAATCGCTATTTTTGAACTTTTTCAAATTTTTTTAAAGGAAATATCTAAAAATATATATTCTAAACATGTTAAATTAAAAATTCAGTGAGGATGTATCATAGATAGGTGACAATTGTCATAATCGCTATTTTTGAACTTTTTCAAATTTTTTTAAAGGAAATAGCTAAAAATATATATTCTAAACATGTTAAATTAAAATTTCAGTGAGGATATATCATAGATAGGTGACAATTGTCATAATCGCTATTTTTAAACTTTTTCAAATTTTTTTAAAGGAAATATCTAAAAATATATATTCTAAACATGTTAAATTAAAAATTCAGTGAGGATGTATCATAGATAGGTGACAATTGTCATAATCGCTATTTTTGAACTTTTTCAAATTTTTTTAAAGGAAATAGCTAAAAATATATATTGTAAAGATGTTAAAATAAAATTTCAGTGAAGATGTACCATAGAAAAGTTACAATTGTCATAATCGCTATTTTTGAACTTTTTCAAGTTTTTTTAAAAGAAATAGCTAAAAATATATATTCTAAACATGTTAAATTAAAATTTCAGTGAGGATGTATCATAGATAGGTGACAATTGTCATAATCGCTATTTTTAAACTTTTTCAAATTTTTTTAAAGGAAATATCTAAAAATATATATTCTAAACATGTTAAATTAAAAATTCAGTGAGGATGTATCATAGATAGGTAACAATTGTCATAATCGCTATTTTTGAACTTTTTCAAATTTTTTTAAAGGAAATAGCTAAAAATATATATTGTAAAGATGTTAAAATAAAATTTCAGTGAAGATGTACCATAGAAAAGTGACAATTGTCATTATCGCTATTTTTGAACTTTTTTCAATTATTTTAAAGGAAATAGGAAAAAATATATATTCTAAAAATGTTAAATTAAAAATTCAGTGAGGATGTATCATAGATATGTGACAATTGTCATAATCGCTATTTTTGAACTTTTTCAAATTTTTTTAAAGGAAACATCTTAAAATATATATTCTAAACATATTAAATTTAAAATTCAGTGAGGATGTATCATATATAGATGACAATTGTCATAATCACTATTTTTGAACTTTTTCAAATTTTTTTAAAGGAAATATCTAAAAATATATATTCTAAACATGTTAAATTAAAAATTCAGTGAGGATGTATCATAGATAGGTGACTTTAACATGTTTAGAATATATATTTTTAGCTATCTCCTTTAAAAAAATTTGAAAAAGTTCAAAAATAGCGATTATGACAATTGTCACATATCTATGATACATCCTCACTGAATTTTTAATTTAACATGTTTAGAATATATATTTTTAGATATTTCCTTTAAAAAAATTTGAAAAAGTTTAAAAATAGCGATTATGACAATTGTCACCTATCTATGATACATCCTCACTGAAATTTTAATTTAACATGTTTAGAATATATATTTTTAGCTATTTCCTTTAAAAAAATTTGAAAAAGTTCAAAAATAGCGATTATGACAATTGTCACCTATCTATGATACATCCTCACTGAATTTTTAATTTAACATGTTTAGAATATATATTTTTAGATATTTCCTTTAAAAAAATTTGAAAAAGTTCAAAAATAGCGATTATGACAATTGTCACATATATATGATACATCCTCACTGAATTTTAAATTTAACATGTTTAGAATATATATTTTAAGATGTTTCCTTTAAAAAAATTTGAAAAAGTTCAAAAATAGCGATTATGACAATTGTCACATATCTATGATACATCCTCACTGAATTTTTAATTTAACATGGTTAGAATATATATTTTTTGCTATTTCCTTTAAAAAAATTGAAAAAAGTTCAAAAATAGCGATTATGACAATTGTCACCTATCTATGATACATCCTCACTGAATTTTTAATTTAACATGTTTAGAATATATATTTTTAGATATTTCCTTTAAAAAAATTTGAAAAAGTTTAAAAATAGCGATTATGACAATTGTCACCTATCTATGATACATCCTCACTGAAATTTTAATTTAACATGTTTAGAATATATATTTTTAGCTATTTCCTTTAAAAAAATTTGAAAAAGTTCAAAAATAGCGATTATGACAATTGTCACCTATCTATGATACATCCTCACTGAATTTTTAATTTAACATATTTAGAATATATATTTTTAGATATTTCCTTTAAAAAAATTTGAAAAAGTTCAAAAATAGCGATTATGACAATTGTCACCTATATATGATACATCCTCACTGAATTTTAAATTTAACATGTTTAGAATATATATTTTAAGATGTTTCCTTTAAAAAAATTTGAAAAGTTCAAAAATAGCGGTTATGACAATTGTCACCTATATATGATACATCCTCACTGAATTTTAAATTTAACATGTTTAGAATATATATTTTAAGATGTTTCCTTTAAAAAAATTTGAAAAAGTTCAAAAATAGCGATTATGACAATTGTCACATATCTATGATACATCCTCACTGAATTTTTAATTTAACATGGTTAGAATATATATTTTTTGCTATTTCCTTTAAAAAAATTGAAAAAAGTTCAAAAATAGCGATTATGACAATTGTCACCTATCTATGATACATCCTCACTGAATTTTTAATTTAACATGTTTAGAATATATATTTTTAGCAATTTGCTTTAAAAAAACTCAAAAAAGTTCAAAAATAGCGATTATGACAATTACCACTTATCTATGGTACATCATCACTGAAATTTTGATTTAACATGTCTACAATATATATTTTTATCTATTTCATTTAAAAAAGTTCAAAAATAATTATCATGACAAATGGCACTTTTCTATGGTACATCAATTAAAAATTTTAAAATATAACTATGATGAATAGTTAATCAGAGCATTATAATTTAAAGAAGCTTTAAGTAACTTTCCCGCCTATAATATTAATATATACTAAATGTTATTTGACTTTTGGTCGAAAAAAATGATCTAGATAATTGGGTTAGGGGTGAAAAAAAGCAACCCTAACTTTAAGTCGTCTTTAAAAAAAAAGATCCATATTTTGGGTCGGATTGAATAAAACGACCCGATGTTTGAGTCTGAGTCAGAAAAACGACCCAAACTTTGAGTTGGAGTCGAAAAATACGACCCAAACTTCAAGTTTGAGTCAAAAAATACGACCCAAACTTCATGTTTTAGTCGAAAAAAACAACCCAAACTTCAAGTTTGAGTCGAAAAATATGACCCAAACTTCAAGTTTAAGTCGAAAAATAAGACCCAAATTTTGAGTCGGAGTCGTAAAAAACGACCCATATTTTGGGTCGAGGTCGTTTTTTTCGGCTTGGACTTGGGTCGGAGTCGAAAAAAACGACCCATATTTTGGGTCGAAGTCGTTTTTTTCGGCTTGAACTCTGGTCGAAGTCGTAAAAAACGACCAAAACTTTGAGTTGGAGTCGAAAAAAACGACCCAAAATTTGGGTGAGCTCTGTTCGAGCCGACTCGGCTAAGCCGATTAACAACACTACTTGTATATAAAAAATTATATATATATATTTAAATCAGACATAAGTTTGGTATAAAAAATAAAATAGGTAGAAAAAGCATAATATCTTGCAAGAATTGTTTATTTATCTGTGATCATCAGTGAAAGAATGAATTTCACAATAATTTAACTTGGGTTGCAAGAATAGTAAATAAAATTGATATATAACAGGGTACTGCAACTTAGCAGTCTCCCAACAATGTAAAATGTTTTCCTTTTCTAATCTTTTGGAATTGTCAAATCTATATAATTTCAATATTTTTCTCTGCAATCATTGGCCATTTTTTAAGTATTCTATTGCCTTTCTTTAATATCAATTTCTCTAAATTATTTTGATCAATAACTTCATCCAACTATTATCATCAGATTAAATAGGTGTGAATATGGTTTTATGATTTTATTCAACTCTATATATTAGCAATCACACCATTATCACTAAGTAATATCTGTAATATTTAAGGATTTATACTGTTTATATTTAAATAAAATTGAAAATAATATAAAATCTTATTTAAATTATTTTGTATTTACTATTATACAAATAATATATGATTTCAAATATAAAATTCACTGAATCTGAATGAACGCAGGTTAAAAAGAAATTTGTTTTGAGTTTTTAGAAATTTTTTAGAAAGGATTCAGGTTTAGTCCAGGTTTATAAAATTTTTTCAAAACCTGGTTTCTGCTTTGTGTTGTTTGAAACCCTGCTTTTAAATGTTTATTTTTAATATCTGAGAAATTTTTACATTTTTATATAAATTCATGATTATAATAAGGTCACAATATTTAAATTTTTTTATAATGTTCAATTGTTATATTATCTGTGTCATTGGTATTGGTTAGTATTGACTGATACACACCTATTTTTGTTATATTCATTTATTAAATTAAATATTTTAATTAAGGGATCCTACTCAATGGCAGCCACTTATAAATGATAGATGCTTTTTATCATGGTTGGTTAAGATACCTTCTGAACAAGAACAATTAAGAGCTAGACAGATTTCAGCTCAGCAAATTAATAAGCTAGAAGAACTTTGGAAGGTTACAATCTTTTAAATATAAAACACAGAATAATAGTTTTACCTTAAAAACAATAATTTTTTAAATCTATTTTATTGATAAAATTTACTATCTTTATAAAATATAATCCATTTTAGTTTGAGCAATAAATATTTAATATTAAGGGTAGGAGGGGGGGGGAAGAGTTAGATAAAATATAAATCTAAAGAAATGATTATTTTACATTTTTAACTTCTTTAAAACGGACTTTAAAAAATATATTGAATTTGGTCATAATTTTAGTTGCCATTATTTTTATATGTATATATTTTTTTTAATTTTCAGGATAACCCAAAGGCCACCTTGGAAGATTTAGAAAAACCTGGGGTAGATGAACAACCACAACACGTTTTATTGAGGTATAATTCTATTATATAAAATATGATTCGCAAAATTTTTTTTCATTTTGTTTTTCTTATAGTTGTGAATATAATCATGTTAACTATAATATTAAATGTAAAAACAATTCATACATATAACTAGTGTTGTTAAACGGTTCAATTTAACCGATTTTTTAAAACGGCAAAATCAATACTTTAGCCAAAATAATATAAGGGTCATTCCATGATAAATTAACCACGATTCGGCCGACCCCCTTCGATTTTTTTAAAATTTGGTAAGCAAAGAAAGGTCAATGTAACTAAGAAATAGCCAATATTTTAGCCTCCTAACATTTATATTTTTGAAGATATTAGGGTTCAAAGTGGCAAAAATGACGTATTTTTACCATTATCTGCCTTCATTCAATTAAGCATATCTTAAAAACTACATAATTGTAAATAACAAATTTAATATCAAAATTACGTACAAAGATTCTACTTTTAGAAAAAAAAAATTTTTTATTTTTTTCCCCAATTTCCGGTCATTTTATTTAATATATAAGGTATAAAAACGATTTTTTGGAAATAATACGACCTTCAATTTTTTAAAAAAATTTAGTAGACATTATTAAACTCTTCCTTTATATTTATAAAAAAAAATTGGTATGGGAGGCGGCCATCTTCATTCTCAAAATCGATAAAAATGTTTAGAAAAGTGTATAAATATTTCCCCGAAAGGGGGCGTCTTTGTATAAAATTATATATTAATCAGTTTTTAATGGTTTTTCTTGGACTATTTGATATAATTTAAAGGATTATTTATCTTGTAAGTGAAAATAACAATAAATGGGGCTTTCTTTCAATTATAGAAATTGTCTATCGATAAAAGAAATTCAATTTATTACTTTATTATAAAATTTTTTGCCCATATAACATATATTTAATGAATATTAATAAAATATATTCAACCAAGTTTATAGTTCTTGAATATATGAATCAGAATCTTATCCATTTCATAGACGCCAAAAATAATATCAAAATTTTCTCTACTCAGTTTTTTAAAATAATTTGATTTTTTTAAAATATTACAAATATTAATTTATTATTATTATGAAATTATATACAAAATCAAAGTATTTTCATAAATTACCCAAAACAATATAAATATTGGATCGGATTTTCTAAAATCGGCATAGCTTTACTAAATTAGAATAACAATAAATAAGTGTTTCAATCAATAAAATAAATAAAAAAATTTAAAATTGATTAACCCTTTCGCGCCCAGCGAGATCATTTGTCATTAAAATTTTTAATCAATTAATTTTTATATTTAAAGAAACTAATTGTTGGTACTTAGAGATAATAATTTATAAAACAATATTTATTATTTCATATTTTATCATTAACCTGTCAAAATCATTATTTTATTATATCAAAATGTCAAAATGATTATTTTATTATATCAAAGTACAAGTATTTTTTGTTCATGGGAAATATTTCGGGCGCGAAAGAATTTTAATCATTCAATAACACATGCTCACTATATTAATTCATTTTTTAATAAATTTCTTGGTATTTTGATTTCTATCAACACCTAACCCCAAGCCTGGAAAAACTATAGACGAATATACAGTTAAAATTGCACAAGAATTTTATTGTATGGACGAAATAAGCAGAATCATGCCAGGCAAGAAAGATTGCGTTTCGATTTTGACCAAAGACGGAAAAAGGAATACCATACATAAGAGATTAATTTTAGATAATTTGAAAAAAATTTATATATTTTTTAAAGAAATGAGGCCTGATGTTAAAATTGGTTTTTCGAAATTCGCAAGCATTCGCCCAAAAATTGTATACTCGTTGAAGGTAGTGGTACACATGTACGTGATTGCAGCTACCACCAAAATTTAAATTAATGATCATTGGATCAAATTTAACCAATGATATGTTGCCCTTTAAAACATTCAAACATATTTTACACTTAATAATTTGTAATTCGCCTCAACCATCCAGTTATATGGGCAAATGTGATAATTGTTTAGGGTCAACACATTTACGCGATCAAATAGAAATATTGTTTCGTTCTAAGGACATCGAATTTATAACATACAAACAATGGCTATCCATAGATAGAACCACTCTTGAAACAATAACCAAACCAGTAGGTGAATTTATCAATGCCTTTTTTAAAAAAATGGAATCTTTATCATTTTTTTATTTCAACGCAACAATCGTTGTATCAAAACAATCTAAAATTGAACTTAGACGAAGACCAATATTGAATTTTGTGATTTTTAAGAAAACTATAGCTTTATACTTTAGGATGAAGTACAAAATTATCATTGGAATAGGGCTCAATCCACTGTTCACCCTATTGTTATATATTATAAAGATAATTTTGCCAATATTTGTTGCCTAAATTATGTAATGATATCCGAATCTTTGCAACACAATACAATAGCAGTACATAACTTTAAAAAAACATTGCTAAATTTTTTAATTAATAAAATTTTTTATTTTCCGGTGGATCCGCTGCACAGTATAAAAATCGTAAAAATTTTATTAATATTTGCCATCATGAGATGGATTTCGGGGTACAGGCGAAATGGCATTTTTCTGCTACAGCACACGGGAAAAGTGTTTGTGATGGGATTGGTGGCACTGTTAAAAGATTAGCCGCTAGAGCTAGTCTACAAGGCCTTACTCAAAGTACACATCATATGAATTGTACGAGTTAGCTAAAGAAAATATTAATGTCATATATTTTGAATAGATGACCAAAATAAATTATGATTACGAAGATCTATTACTCAGAGAAAGATTTTCAAAAACTAGATCTATACCTGGAACACACAAAATACACACCTTGATTCCAACAGATCTACATAATTTAAAAGTAAAATGTATTCCAATTCAATAGAAAGTACTTTAGAATAGTTATCATATAATGATGAAAGTATAATTATCGAAGAAATATCAGGATACCTAACGTATCCTTATGATTCTAATTGGTGGTTAGCTTTGTTTTAGTGAAAAATTAAAAGCAGGAAGAAATATATATAAAGTTTCTACACCCATCCGGACCTTCTAATTCCTTTACATTTCTAAGTATAGACGACACTCTTTGCTTGCCCAAATGTCATATGTTAACATTAATTTCACTGTTAAATGCTACTGGCCGTAGTTATACTATACATTGTCGTCACAAGAAAGTACATGCGCTACCGAAAAATTAGAATCTTTTAAAAGTGAGTTTAAATTTAAATTATATCAATTTTTTATAATATTTAGGGTTTCATTTATGAAATGCACAAGATTTTGATTCATATATTCAAGAACTCGAAACTTAATTGTACATATTTTATTAATATTTATTAAATATATATTATATGGGCAAAAATTTTTATAATAAATTATAAATAAAGTAATAAATTGAATTTTTTTATCGATAAACAATTTCTATAATTGAATGAAAGCCCCATTTATTGTTATTTTCACTTACAAGATGAATAATCCTTTTAATTATATCAAATAGTTCAAGAAAAACCATTAAAAACTTATTAATATATAATTTTATACAAAGACGCCCCCTTTCGGGAAAATATTTATACACTTTTCTAAACATTTTTATCGATTTTGAGATAGAAGATGGCCGCGTCCCAGACCAATTTTTTTTTATAAATATAAAGGAAGAGTTTAATAATGTCTACTAAATTTTTTAAAAAAATTGAAGGTCGTATTATTTCCAAAAAATCGTTTTTAGTCCTTATATATTAAATAAAATGACCGGAAATTGGAAAAAAAAATAAATTTTTTTTTTATCTAAAAGTAGAATCTTTGTACGTAATTTTGATATTAAATTTGTTATTTACAATTATGTAGTTTTTAAGATATGCTTAATTGAATGAAGGCAGATAATAGTAAAAATACGTCATTTTTGCTAATTTGAACCCTAATATCTTCAAAAATATAAATGTTAGGAGGCTAAAATTTTGGCTATTTCTTAGTTACATTGACCTTTCTTTGCTTACCAAATTTTAAAAAAATCGAAGGGGGTCGGCCGAAAATCTCATTTTTTTTGCTCATTTGACTTGGAATGACCCATAACCTATTCCTCAATATTTCGCTAATAGATGATAAGACCTTTCTGCCATATATTAGAAAAATATCCAGGCTTGTCATGTATTTTTTTTAGCTAAATATCGAGATACCCGTTTTAAAAATCATGGCTAAATCGAGCTGTCTATCAATACTACATATAAAAAAAATGGATAATATTGCCTGATACTTTTATATTGAAGAATTTCATAAATACATGTATTTTCAATATACTCTCCTTATAAATAATAGATATGAAGATGCCTACCAATATCAAAATGTATTTGGGCCACTGATAAAATACGAAGCTGACTATGATAGGAAGCTAAAAGAAAGTCAAACTCAAGAGAATATCAGTGTTAGATGGACAGTGGGCTTGAATAAAAAGCTTATAGCCTATTTTGTCCTTCCCAAGTCTGACGGAGGTAAAGCAAACTCATTATTTTAAACTCTACTAACATAAACTGAAAAATCATTAAACAAAAATATATTAAGTTTGATCAGAATTGATTAGAAGTGATCTTAATATGAACATTAAATTTCATATTTGTCATTTAATAAAGAAATGCGATTAATGCACGGTGATGAATTAAGACTTAAATACTTGGGGATTAATAGCGGATCCAATTCAAATGAAAACCATCATCAACCAAATTCTTTTCTCCTGAACAATGCCAATCCCTTGGACGGTTTTTTAAACACAAGTACAATTGCTTTTAAAGTATGAATGTTAATGTGTGAAGTAGAAAACATTCCTCCTAAAAGATTATATTTTTTAGGTTCTATTCATTACATTTCTCTCAAATAAAGGGTATCCTTGTCCGATTTAGCGTTTTAATATATAGGTTGTTTTATAAAAAAATAGAATAATAATTTTATATTGAGATTTATAAAAACCAGGGCTCAATCCTTAGGGTTTTAAATTAGCCTAATATTTTTGTTATCGATGAATGAACGATTAATTAATTATTAATTAAGGCATCAATACTTAATTTAAATCAGTGCAAAACAATTTTTCTTAAAGACACAAAAGGTAGTGGTGGTGATTCTGGCGTTCAAGGAAACACAAATACTTGGGTAGGAGTCGGCCATGTCATAAAATTGCCCAACAATTATGGGGAAGAAGTAGGTATAGAACTCAAATCTAATTATTTGGCTCCCACAGACAAGACACAAAATTTTTTGGTTGATTTTGTGTGGAAATCTACCTCTTTTGATAGGTTACATATGATTTATGGAAATATTTCTTTATATATTTTAATTTATACAGTTCTTATAATCAAATTGTTTTAAAGTATTTATTTAAATATCATTTTGCAGCCAGTTTATTAAGAAGTGCACAAATTTAGATCCTTATAAGATTGGCATATATTCCAATGTTGATTCTCGATAATTTCTATAATATAATTTATCATTCCTATATATATATATAATTGGTTATACATCATTTTGGTGCATGTCAATTCAAGGGCAGGTCAACTTCTGCAAAGTATACAGTGCAGAGAAATTTTGATGCATCTTATCTTTTAAAATTTAATAACATAAATGAAAATTATTTATGTGTAAATGAACATTTTTATATAAATGAAGTGATAATTTTTTAAAGAATAATAATTAAAAATAAAAACATAATTTATTTTTTTAAGGATGTTTATGATAAATAAATAATTTTTTAACAAACTTCATTGATCATATTGGGATTCTTTACTTTCTACATAAAACGATTTTACTATATGAATATTTTCTTTTTGATGAATATAGTTGAAAAAATATATAATGAGGAGTTAATTAAAATTTGATAGTATATTTTTAAATGACTTATGTATGTACATCATTAATGATGATACACCAAAAATATATGGATACATTTAAAAATTAATATTTTAAAGTGATTTGTAATATGATCAGTAATTGGCTAATATCAGTTTAATATATATTGGTCTCCAAAAAATGGTATAAGTATTAGAGATTTGCAAAGCCTGCCCAAGCAGGCCGGAATTTTTTAAAATAAATTAAAAAGAACCGGGCTGGGCAAAAATTATAATGGGATGGCAAGTATGCATAAATTTTTTTTTGCCCTGGCTGGGCAGATAAAAAATTCAAGCCATGGAATTAGATAAAAATAATTCAGGCTAGGCTTTTATAACATTTTTATACACATTTTCTAATAATTATTTATCTTCGGTTTTGCTTAATAAAATATATCCTGCTTAATAAAATATATCCAAAAATACTTTTATTTCTTTTCTTAAAATTAAAATATTAAATTAAAAAAATAAAAACGATGGAGTTAAAAAGATTTAAAATATCAAAAAAATTATTTTCTTAAGTAGACTATTATTATATGATGAAGTCTAGAATGGAAAGAAATGGCGCACAACTCTTAGAATGAAATAATTATAAATCGATAATATTAAAAACAAACTATTTGGTATGATATTTTAAATTTTATTAAATATAAATAAAAAATTTAATTAGTTTTATCACTTAAAATTATTTCGATATTTTTGTTAGATCTTTTAGTAGCTTAATATAATGCTCTGAAAAAAGAAAGTAATTGAATAGCAAAGATGAAAGATGTAAAACTGACTCTTAGTAAACTTATCGAACGTTTCCAAACATGTCATTCACAATTATGACCACTGACTACGAATTAATGAAATCAGTTCAACTTTAAAATTTTTGCTCGCCTACTTATTATTGCATTTTAATAAAGAAATTATTTTTCACGATATTTGTATATTTTTTTATAAAATAGGCAAATGATTATTAGGAAAAAATGTCTAAAAAAATCTTGTTTACTTTTAAGGCTATGACATCTTAAATAGTTTATTCTTAAATTTGACTAAGATAAAATATTCCAGGATTTATTAATTACCAATTTGCTAATTACTTTCAAACCAAATATTTTTGCACTAAAATATGCATTGTGTGAATTAGCAGATTTAATACGCTGTATATTTGCGTCCAAGTGGCTTTGTGTTGTTCTGAATTTGCTGCACTGGATCCACCCGAAATTGTCACCAGGCCCAATTAACACCCATTAAATTATTCCATAAAATTAAAAAAGTTATTTATAAGGAGTGACAGTGATATGATAAAAAATTAGACGAACGCTGAGATCCATTCAAGCACAAATTTTTAAATGATATGATTCAGGAATTTACGCAAATTTATCATCGGAATCTTTATTCATTTTAATGGGTGAGATTGATAGATAGATCCGGGATTTTCTTATCGAGGGCACGATTAGGTAGGGTATTCCGCCATAATTTTTATTGGAGGTCTTTAAATTCACTTATTGTACTTTGAATAATTTTAAATTAAAAGAGTAAAGATATATTGAAAACCCAAAATTATTTTTATAATATAGCATTATACATTTTTGGGTGTGTTGGTTACGCCTATTGATTGATACTCGAAGAAGATGACTACTCCTAAAAAAATGGAAAAACTCACTCTTTAGAATGATAAATATATCTTGATTATTCGTTTTGCTATTTTAAAAAAATAAATAAATTTAATTTATAAACGATTATTTTATTAAAATAAATACTTTAAATATAAAATGAGATATGAGTCTTAAAAAATCATAGAATTGTCATCGGAATCAGAAGTCATTGATATTTACAAATTATGCAAATGTCGAATGGAAATCCAGTCTCAGTTATATGTCCATTTATTGATATTATACATCTTTCAAAAATTGACATTATGAAGTAGTTTTACCTTTAGAAGGTGTTATTTTTTGATTGTGAAATCATTATTCCTATCAGGATGCTTATCTATATTTAGAGCACTGCCCGAGCTGTCTAAGACCCGACCCAATCTCGAGTCATGCTTGGAAATTGAGGACTTACTTTTTTTTTCGTCGAAAATTAGAAATGTCTGTCAATTGGAATCACATGTAATTTTTCATCTAGCATATTTCACTTATTCATTTGCGTAATTTTCATTTCTCAAATTAACAATTTCCTATTATTACTATCTGTATTGTAACTAGTTAGAAGCTATCTTACATTTATCATATTCTAACAGGTTAAATAAAATGCTAGACTCGGTTTTGCAACATTATTTGATAATAGCCTATTTATGGGTTGATGGGGTTAAATATACTTTTATTTAAGATGATATTGTGTGAATAAATACAAATAATTTTTAATTTTTCCTTATATATTATTTTAAAATTGAATTTCGAAATTTTATTAATCAAGCTCGGTTTGGGCTCAAACAAAAAATTTGTGGTCAGGTTCGGATAAAATTTTTTAAAATTTGGGCTCGGACCAGGAAAAATCATTTTGCAGGGCTCTATATTTACAAATAGTTACGCGCTATTAATTAGCAACGTTATATTTTTTATTGTTGGATTTTACTGTCCCCTACCATATTTATTTCCATCCTTTCAGGATGCAATCAGCTCTTCACACCTTTGCCGTTGACGAAACATCTGTATCTCCATACATATACCACAAGCTCTTAGGTCACCAAGTTGAAGATGTGACGATCAAATGTAGTGCATTGCCCAAAAAATTTTCCGCCCCTAACTTACCCGAACTCAATCATTCTCAAATTTACGCCGTTAAAACAGTGCTTCAACGACCGCTAAGCCTTATACAGGTTTAAAAGAAAATAGTTTATAGTTTTTTTTACTCATCGATGTAATTTTCAAAAATTTTATCACTTTATAGTTACAAAAAATGGTTCGGTAGTTATATGTTGATTTTTTTTACAGGTTTCTCCATATTTTATTTCACATGTTATTATTTTTTTACTAAACTCACGAAACATGAACACATGAAATTGCCTTCATAAATTTATTCCTTTTGTATATGCCTTCAAACATTATATAGAATTTTTTAAAATTATTTTTACTTTTTGTTAAAGGATTCGCATATGATATTTTTATTTTTTTCACATCGTTTAACGCTAGGGACCACCCGGCACTGGTAAAACGGTAACCTCCGCTACCATAGTCTATCACCTGGTATCTCAGCAGATTTCAAATTTGCAGAATTCTAACTTGACCAAAAACCCCGTTTTGGTTTGCGCTCCCAGTAATATAGCCGTCGACCAACTCGCCGAAAAAATCCATAAAACTGGTCTGAAAGTTGTGAGACTCTGTGCCAAAAGTAGGGAAGCAATAGACTCTCCGGTAGCTATCCTAGCTCTGCATAATCAAATTTATAACATGGAAAACACGACTGAACTTAGAGTACCTTATTTGTTTTATATCTCATTACTTAATAAATATGATTTTATCCAATATTCTGTTATTTTATTATTTTTTAAATTTGAATTATATTTTATTTTTTGTAGTGCATAATTTTTATTCATCATTAAACAATTAAGATAATCGAATATCAAAAATTATATTTACCATTTTGAAACCAATTATATAATATTACTAAACTATTTTTTTGTTTTAAAATATGAAATTCTTTATTATATTTTTTTAAACATGGTGTCAAGAAACTACAACAACTGAAGGATGAACAAGGCGAGCTGAGTTCTGGTGACGAAAAGCGTTACAGGGCACTGAAGCGAGCATGTGAGCGGGAATTGCTCCGTGCCGCTGACGTCATATGTTGTACTTGTGTGGGGGCTGGCGATCCCCGCCTCGGTTCCGCTCGGTTTGAGGCCGTGCTCGTAGACGAGAGCACACAGGCCACCGAACCCGAGTGCATGGTCGCTGTCGTGCTTGGGGCCAAGCAAGTAACGCACTTTATTATATTAATTAAAGTTAGTCAACGCCTTTTTTACTTATTTTTAAATTAAATAATCTTTTTAACTTTTGCTGACAATTTTTCCTTTATAGGTGATTTTGGTAGGCGACCACTGTCAGCTTGGCCCTGTCGTTATGTGCAAGAAAGCAGCAAACGCCGGACTCAGTCAATCACTTTTTGAAAGGCTAGTGGTTTTGGGTATAAGGCCCATACGCCTTCAAGTTCAGTACAGAATGCACCCAGCTCTCAGCGCCTTTCCTTCCAATATATTCTACGAGGGATCACTTCAAAACGGAGTCACCTCAAGTTTAATGATATGAGATATGAAAAACCCAAATATTTTATTTCAAAAGGTTTTCCCTCTACACATCCTTCTTTTATTTTAATTATGAAACATTACCATTGATTTAGTTGTTCTGGGAATTAACTCGTTATTCAGTACTCAGTTCTATTATATTTTAATTTAGCAGAGTTGTTAACGCTCCTTTTTAAAAGTAGCTAGCTCCCACTCCTACCTTCTCAAAAAGAGCTAGCTCCCGCTCCATGTAATGGAGTGCCACTCCATAACCGCTCCTTTGATTTTCATTTTTTTAGAAGGTGTACAAAACAAAATCATATTTTTTTTTATCAAAAAGCTTTATTTATATTAAATGATCTATTAAAATATTTATAACCTTTTATTAGCTTTTAAAAGTAATAAATTTTCAAAATTAGAATCTAACAAACATCCACGCGTCTCCCCTAAGACCTGTTTTGCAATACTAAATAGACACTCCACAGGAGCACTAGAGGGCATGGTATTGTATTTTATAAAGATATTTTTTAATTCAGGGAATTTATCAAAAGTAGTATTTTGGTATCATTATTTAAAAAATATTTGTCCAATATATTTCTTTTTGATGATCAATTTCATAGAATCCAAAAAAATCTTCCAAATCAATTTGTATTTAAAAGAAAATTTTTTTACTTTTAGATGTTTTTTTGAATTTGAAGCTGCTCACTTTTGAAAATTAAATAATTTATTTAAACACAAAAGACATTTTGCCCTTAAATTTATTTGATCACTTGGATCAACATCTTTTAGAAGTTTAATTTTTTGTATGATGGAAATAAAAATTCGATTTCTTCATCAATGATCAAATCCATAATATCTAAAACTATTTTTTATTATATATCTATAAAATGAATATTAATATGACTTACAAGATTTTCCAAAAAATTTTCAATATAAAAAGGAAAACTTGATGTTTAATATTTAAAATGATTAGATGAAAAACCAATATAAAACTAGGCTAAACATTTAATAATAGATAAATTTAAATTTATTAAAATTTCATTTTTATTGAATTTTATTTAATTAATATTTAAAAATAATTTAATTTATACATTAAATTTAAAGGAGCGGTGGAGCGTCGCTTCTCCACTCCAGCCCTAAAAGGAGCTAGCTCCCACTCCCCAATTTTATAAAGGAGGGGCACTCCAGGTGTTTTAAAAAAAATGTAGCGCCGCTCCTTAACAATGGAATTTAGATTTGCAAAAATATTATGTTTAGTAAATTTTATTTTGAATATAAAGGTAAATTTTATATAATTTCCTTTTTATTAAGTAGAAATATTCTTCATTTTAAAGGATTTAAAACAATTGTTCTATCGAATTCACTATAATCTATTCTAATTTTTCCTTAACTAAATGAATCGAATAATTAGTTATGTTTAAAATATGTTGCTCAGAATTACTATATTATTGAATAAAATGCTAACATTACATATAAAAAATTTTAAATTAAATTCTTTTATTTGACTCACATTAGAAGTATACCAATATTAAATAGCGAATCGGAGCCGATATTTAGCATTTTAAACAATATCAAATTGGGCCGATATATTCAAAATCCCCGATCCCCATCAAATTTATCATTTAGTAGTGTTAAAGTTTGGGAAAATTTTTTCATTGTTTTTGGTTATTTTATGATTGTATATATAATTATTATACATCATTTCATAATAATAATGAATAAGGAAAAAAATTTGATTTGTATGTAATAAAAAAATCGAATTGCTTTAAAAGATCGAGTAGATTAAGATTCGATATTATTTTTTGTTATGTTACTTGCAGAAAAAAAGATTTATAACTAGTCCCCTTCAGCTAATCTTAAATGACTTGAATTAGCTCATTTTTGAAAACAACTCAACATTTTAGTCGAGAAATTATATAAGCGTGGATATTTAATTTGCTCACAAATGGCAAAAAGGTTTGTACGTCTATTAGCAAAATTTCGAGGCTTAGATATTAATTTTTTGGCTAAAATCTTGACCATATTAATAACACTGCATTCAGCCTAAACATTGCCCATATTTTAAATGAGACGATTATCTTTTGAAAAAAAAATACCCATAGTTATCTATGAAAATTTGTTGGTTTTCTTTAAATAGAAGATGCTGATTTCTTTTTCTGACATAATTTAAAGATAGATGGTAATTAAAAAGTAGCCTAAATATCGGATCGGTTTTGTGGTAAGATCGGATCGCTGAAAAATTTATAGATCGACACGCTTTAACTCATTATCATACAAAATTTTAAACAGAAATATTTAATTGTTATTATCGCACAAAATTTCACTTAAATATATGATATAGAATTAAGAATATTAAAGTATTTTTTTAAACAACTTTAAAAAAAATACAGTTTTCAAATTATTGACAATTTTTTTGTTGTTGTAATATTGTTTAAATAGTTTTATTTTTTGTATTATATATTTTTTAACATCTTTTTTATAAAGTTGATCGGATTCAAACAGCTTTGGAATTCCCTTGGCCATGCCCTGATAGCCCTATGTTTTTCTACGTGACGAATGGGCAGGAAGAAATATCTTGTAGTGGAACATCCTACCTGAACCGAACGGAAGCTATCAACGTGGAGAGGCTGGCGACAAAATTTCTTAAATGTGGGGTTAAGCCTAGTCAGATAGGCATAATAACTCCTTATGAAGGCCAAAGAGCTTACCTCGCTCAATACATGCAGTACAGTGGCTCGCTTAATTCTAAACTTTATCAGGTTTATTTCTACTTTTTTTTATATCATACTTAAAACATGCTAAAAATTATATCGACATGGATCTAACACTATTAAAGTTTTGCAAAAAAAACTAGAGATAGATTTTTAATAATAATATTGCGGGAAAATATATTTAAATATTAAAAAATGTTCAAATCTAATTTTAACATTGTTTAATGAATTTTTGCCTAAAAAACGAATCATTTTGATCCATAAAATGTCTCTCAGTCACAAATTAAGCATGTTAATTTATTTGCTTTTAATTTCCATAGGAAGTTAACTCCGCAAAAAAAATATTTTGCGGAATATATTAATAATAGTTTCAATTTTGGTAAATTTTTGAGATGCATTAAAATTATATTTTATGATATATCAACTAATTCTTAAGATGCAATGAATCGGCTGATTCTTTAAATACCGAATCAAGTATCTTGTCTCTATCTTATATATATATTTTATATATCATAAATTTATAAAATTAATATAGTGAATCGTTTTTACTATTTTTACCTATCAAAAATATATATACATTATACTTTTTTCCCTACACATGTATATCGCAGGAAATAGAGGTGGCCAGCGTCGACGCCTTCCAAGGTCGCGAAAAAGATTACATAATCTTATCTTGCGTGCGGGCTAACGATCATCAAGGTATAGGATTTCTCAACGATCCTAGACGTCTAAACGTGGCCCTAACGAGAGCCATGTAAATGAATAAATACTTCTTTTTTTTATTTCTTTGCTTTAATTAGAGTCACACCTATTATAGTTTTTGATCTATTCTAGAAATACCATGCAATACCTATTTTTACATTGATTTATAATTTAAAATGTTATCCTTTTCTTACTTATTTCGCCGAAAAAGTTTGAATATAGTCATCATACGACTTAATTCTTAGATAAATGTTTATATTTATTACTGTTACACTATCTTTAGCCATACCATATATTTAATTTAAACATAAATAATGTGTCTTATCTATTTATTGTTTTTTTCGCAAACATGAAAAATAAAAGTTATGGCATAATCATCGTCGGAAACGCCAAAGTGCTTGCTAAACAGCCTCTTTGGAACCATCTTCTAAATTATTATAAGGAACAACATTGTCTGGTAGAGGGACCTTTGGCTAATCTCAAAGAAAGCTGCCTGCAATTTCCAAAACCCAAAAAATTAGTTAACCCTTCCAATCCCGGAGCTAGGTATAAAAATATTTTTTATTTTAAACAAAAAAGTTGTTAAATTAACATTCTTATTATATATTAGGGACAGTGATTACCTCTAGAAAATAAATTGTAATTCTAAACATTTTATTCGTTATTTTGAATTTTACTTTACATGTTTATCCAAGTTAAGTGAAATATTTTTTTCTCTTTGTAATGAATGATAAAAATTGGAGCTACAATCTGGTATTGTTATTATTCTTGAGTTAAATTTATTCCTGGCAGGGTCAGAAATCTTATCTAATTTTTCTCTAGATTATGGAAGTTTAAAAAAAAGCTATCTAAAACTTAAAAGTTTATTTGTTTTGCTATAAGGCTTATAAAAATGCTTTTCCCTTATATATTTATAATCATTGTATAATAATAATAATAATAAAAATTATACCTATATAATTCAAAGATAATTTTTTACAATTAAGATTTATGGTAAGAACAACCTATGACGCCCGTGAAGCATTAGGCCCTGGGGGTCCATATTCTTATTACGCGACAGGTGGAAATTTAAACGGTTATGTTAGCTCTGATGACAGGGGAATGATAAATAAGGGTTAGTTTATTAAATGTTATTTTATTTCTTTTTATCATTGGTTTGTAATAATAATATAGTCTATTTTTTAATTCTTTATAGTATTAAGCAACATAATCCGAATAGTATAATTTTAATGTGTCTAATAATCTTTGCACCAATTAATAAAATATAAATAACAAAAATTTCTGCACAACACAGACCTCCCATTTCAGCCCCCTTCACAGTTTCCTCAGTACAATCATCACACCAACAACGCCTTTCAACAGCTGACTCGTCAAGACCCTATGAGAAAACCTTTTGGTCAGGTGGATAATAATAACCCACTCGTACCCCAAAATTTTCACAATGCTACATCTTTCAGGGATCCCTTTAATTACATTAGAGGTCCCGACGATCCTTGGTTTAGATTTATGGCGGCCGGTGGAGCTAACCCGATGGCATCTAACAATTTGCCAATACCAATCAATATGTTTTTGCCTCCTCCCCCTCCCGCCAACTTCAATCATTTCAACTTGAATCAGCAACAACATAGCGCTAATTTCAACGCGTTCCATAACGGTCAAGGACAAAACCAGGCCAATTTTAATCGGCAGCAGGCATTTAACGCCATGAACGATAGTGAGATCGCGAACAGGACTAAAAGGATGACAGGTGTCCCAAGAGAATCGAGTGTGTTTTTCATTATCATAAAATTAAAATATATCAGAATAAAAAAAATTCTTTTATCCTTACTTGAGACCTGCAAGATCTAATTTAAATATTTGCCAAACTGATAATTTAATGATGTTTATCTATTTTATTCTTTTTATTGCAATTATAAGAATGAATAGTAAATATTTCCCTTTTCTTATTTTAAATTATTGTATTCAATCAGGCTAAAAAGGAAATAGATATTATATTAATATTTCTCAGGCCATGACTTATTTTATTGATGATGTCCATAGGCTAGGCCGGCCCTGCATGACACTAATCTCTACTTCATTCATATTTTTTAGTGTTTAACATTGTTTTTTAAAGAATGAATATATTCTCATTTTTTTATATAGAATCGTACTCAAAAGCCAGACAAAGCAACAATATCTCTGGAGACGCGCTTCTATCCCAACAGAACACCGAAAATAATGTGCTTTCTATGATGTCGCAAGAGCATAACGGAATGATGAATAAAGTTACCTGCTTATAATATATATATAAACTTATGATTAAGGATTGAGCCAAAAAAAAATTATTGTATTTGTATGAAAAATTTATTTGACCAATCTATTTTTTGTTTAAAAAATATTAAAATAAGATCCTATCCAAAAAAAATGAAGTTATTAAACTAGTACAGAGCTCTGATAGACATATTACAGACTTTAAACAATTATATTCCTCTATTTTTATCGATTAGCTAATTTACAAATAATTCTTAAAAACTTAAATGTCGCCATCGAATCCTGTTCAATTTTTTTAAAATCTATTTACAAATTGCAGTCATTTTTTAAAAACCCCAAGCTAAGCCATAACAAGATTAAATTTAAAAAGTAATTAAAATTTTCTTACTCAGCCTGGTTTTTAAAATGTACTTTGTAGGTTGCTCGTAATTTTAGGATAGTTAGTGTTGGTGATAATAAAACGTATTATTTATTTTTACTTTAATTATTTGTGTAAATGCATTTAATATTTTTTTAAAATATTTTACCTAAGGACAAGGACGATATGTTTGGCATGACAGGCGACAATCTATTTTCTAATAGAAATAATCACCAAAATTTCTCGCAAAACTTTGACTTCTTCAATTCGTTGAGTCAATTGAACAAAGTATTTTTAACTTACATCAAATTTTTAATAAAATATAAAATGTATTTTATCACATCATAATATTTATCATTATTGCTAGTGTTACCGATTATGGTCATTTTTCGAAATCTTATTATTTATTAGAGTTATATGTTTTTATGAATTAATTATATACTGTATAACCTAGTTCTAGTTAATTCGCTCGAGGGGAACAAATATTTAAGTGGCATAATTGGTAGGTCATATTATACTTAAGATGTTGCATTTTTTAAAAATATAAAAACTAGGACTAAAACCAAAAATTCCGTGAATATTAAAAATTTTGCCTTAACTTTAGGTTTTTTTTATATATAGAATTTTTTTTTTTTAAATTAAAGAATGACCTCTAATTTTAATTAAAAAAATCGATAGGAATATGAACGAGGTTATACTGTATATCATTATGGTAATTGGAAAAAAATAATTATTTATATTACTTCATGTTTTGCTCAATTTGAAAAATTACTATATTTTTTAGAATAAAGACGAAGACAATTACGCAGACTTGAACAAATTTTTGCCTCAGAATATCTTACTATCTCAAGATACAGAAGTTTATGGAGGAAACAACAAAAATTCATAATAATAAATTTAAGTAGAGAAAAATCCCCTTTTATAGAATTAAAAAACTTTTAAAGATTTAATCTTTAAAAAAAATCCACCCTTAAATTTAAAAAAGGAATTGATAACATTTGGGTTAATGTTAAGATTGTTGAGCAGCAGTTAAGTCAGTCTTAGAACATTAATCTAAAAATTAAAAATAATATTTTTTTTGTTTTAATTATATTCTTTTTAGACTTTAATTATTTCTAGATATAATGCTAAATTTTAGAATTAATTTATTAACTTTCAACATTATTTAAAAATAGAAAATCAACTTTTCATAATTAAACATTTATTTATAAGCCAAAAAAATTCACAATGTTATCGCACTTTTCAAATCATAAATTACCTGGGAAAAAAGAACTAAGCAAAGAAATTAATAGAAGGAGTAACAACCTAATTTTTTCGTTCCCTAACGAATTAATCATCATGTTCATGCCATACATGTCATGATGATATATCATCCTTCCCATTCCTTACTCATCCCTTATGGGTAGATAGTGTACTTTGCATCCACAATATGAGTGTTCCAATTCCATAAGATGGACACTTCATCAAAACATACGCCCCACCACTCCAAATCCCCAAGATCTCTAAAATTGCAATCGACATTGTGAACATTGATATAAATAGAATCATTAACACTTATAAATGTTTTTTTTTTAAATTGTTTTTAATTACTTATTTATATTAGATTTGTCAGTCATCACTCTTTTTATGTTATAATTTTTATTTTATACATAACATTTATGCCTTTTATTATCTTAATAAATATACTTTCGCGTGGTTAGATTATTCATATTAATTTTAAATAAAATCGCCTTTCTATCTGTTTGTCAATAAATTATAGGTTATGTCAAATGTCATCATTTTTAACAAATATTATCTATTATTAGATATATAGATACCTTTGGCTATTAAATTATTTCTCCAATATTTTATTCGAAATTAACGGTATTTTAACTTCAAAAAAGATTTTCATTTTAAAAAAAATATATTTTACTATTATAAATAATAAATATGTCAATTATCGGTTCGTAAATATATAATTTTTTTATAGATATACAAGTAAACATATTTTTTTAAACTGATTTGTCAGTATAAATATTATTTCATTATTTTAATTATATTACCAATAAAATAATTAAAATTAATTTGCCAGTAAAATAAATAATTTATTATAATTAATTGTATCTTAAATTTTAAGATTTTTGATAAGAAAATATAAATTAAAATTACTATAAAATGTCTAATTTTCTAGTAACTAGTTTGTAGTATCATTTATATTATAATATTAATAAACAATAAACAAATGCTATAGAGTAACATTAAAAAAGTAATGTCGTTACTAACGGCGTTACCTTTTTTGAAGAAACGTCTTTCGTTATCTCCTAGAGGTACACGAGTAACGCGTTTTTTTTGAGTAACGGTAACGTAAAACGTTACTTCGATTTTTTCTTAAAAATATTTTAAAAAAAATTTTTTATTTTATTATAAAAATATTTTATTCATTTTTTAAATTTTATTCATTTTATAAATAATTTAAGCCGAGTTTTTAATTTAAATCAACCACCACATTCCTTCATTTTTATTATAAATTTTCAGTCAAGTTATTAATCTAATTAATATTGAATCATCAATGTAGGTTAATTTATATTCTTATTCGTTAATATTATAATTTATTTTATAAAGGATATGTCAATTTTACATTTTCTTTAGATGAAGATGAGTTAAAATCCAATATGAAGCATTTTTTACACTAATAAAGAAAACCAAGGGATTGTGCAATAAACATCGGCTAAACTATGCAACCATTTTTAAGGAAAAAATGGGAAGATAACTGATTAAACTGGTTATAGCAATATGAAACTTTCTATGACTCCATGAAATTAATAGATAGTCTTATTAAAGAGAATAACCGCAAATTTGACGAATCTTGTGATAAATTCAATCAGGTTCATAGATGAATATTGTACTTTATATATGATTTTATAGATTATGGAACCTGTTCCTTTTCGATTTTAGAGAGAGAAGAAAAAATGTACTTGGGAAATCTCAATCCCACAATAACTATTATAATATAAAAAAAATAGCTTTAAATTTCATTAGTAATCCCCTTATTACTGCAATTCTGCAAGACAAAGATGAAATGTATACAGTTGAAACATTGTTTACAATTTATATTATGATAATATTTTATATCAATAGATGTGAACACATCTATAAAGATGAATATATATTATCAGCAATAATTCACCCGTTATTTAAATCAGATTGGCCCTGGTATAACTAGATGTCAATGAAGGAAAGAAGCTTGAACTTATTTCCTGTTTGAGAAAAGATCTTGACAAATAAATGGTAGACTTAATTCTTTAAAATACAACACACGTACAGATTATTTTCTGATAAAGATATAAAAAATTCGATGAGGATCCGAATGAAGATGAACTAAACTTTTTTAAAATAAAGATTATTCTTTAATTTTTAATAAATTCTCCCAATTATAATTTTTATACGTTAAATATAATACAACTCCAATCCTCAACGCCAGTTGAACGTGTATCGTGCTAGCTTATTTGATAAAAAAAAATCAATTGCTAAAAAAAATAAAAAATATCTTATCCATAATATAATTTTTGTATTATTTTATTTATAAATTATTATAAAAAGATCTTATCTTCCAATATATTATTTTTTGCATAATGTTATTTACATTATATATATGAGGAAAAAAATTTTTTTTTTCTTTATATTATTTAATTTTTTAAGTAACTAGTAACGCGTTATTTTTTTGAATAGCCAGTAACGCGCGTTCATTTTTTTTTCAGATATAACGCTTGATGTCATTTAAAACATACATTGATCTATGGTTATGTAATTAGAAAAAAATAGGCTTCGTAACATAAAAAACTAGAGTTTATTTATTTTAATAAGTTTTTCACAACTATTAAGCCAACCTGTTTCAGTTTATAGACTATTTTTAATATATATATTCGTCAAATCTAAAATAAACGAAAGAGAAAAATAATCGAATTATATAATATTTTAATAAAGATTTCTTTATTATGGAATTTTACCTCTTAATATTCATTTAAACCTAATTTACATAAGAAATCAGAGCAGTTCCATGCCCGCGGACCAGTTTTCTGACGTGGCAACTTGTAAAACATATTTTCATGAGCCCGTTATTTCCATCTTTTTTTAAAGCCAATAATTAGTATTATTTTGGTCTTTTTCCTTCGTAAAAATTTATTCCTGTGTAAATTTGTACAAAATTATTTTACGGGTCGAGCCTAAAAAACCTTTTCAAAATTTCCTATGGTCTGATTCGCGACTTCTAATTTATATTTTAAAAATGACTTAATAATATGGCGTCAAAATAAAAACTCCTTTTATAATGAATTTTATTTATCTTTGATAAATACATAATATGCCAAAAAAATTATTTTTTTAAAAAATGACACCTGTGGCTAAGAGGGTTAGAGATATGGATGATATTAGTTAAGCCCCTGGTCAGCGGTTAAATTCCCTCCGAGACTAGAATTTTTGAATCAAATCGAGGGCAGAAATATCCTGGACAAAAAACACCGGACAAAAATATCCTAATTTTAATTTAAAAAAATTCACCTAGCGGTACAAAACACTATTGACCGATTATCAATAAATCTATAATCTCATATGCATAATATAATTATTATATCTTTGGAAAAATAAGTAAACCATTAATTTAGTAATGTATATGAAAAAATTTCAGTGCTAACAAGCTCAGGCTTATAAGATCCCGTCTCCCCTACTCTATACAAGTTGGAATACGATCTCGGTAAAAATCTATTCTTTTAAAAGGATAAAACAACGCGGGGCTATAAATAATATAAATTTTAAAAATTTTACTAAAACCTAAGGGTAATTAAATAGCTCGATTTTCCTATAAGCTTTACTTGATATTAAGTAGAGGAGACTGAGGTTAGGTAATGGTGGATATACGTAAATAGCGAGAATTGGAAAAGACAATAATAAATATAATTGGTAATATGTAACTATTTATACAAGTAAATAATAACGGATTAATCGTTCTGACAATTCTATTATTGTTCTATTTGCATATTCAATTTTGCAGTCAGCCTATTAAATCCTCGGTGTTGATCGAGATATTTTCTATGTTGTAGGTTATCATAGAGTCATTGAGGTGACTTGTTATCGATTCTGTGAGATATACCTGATATGAGTAATGGCGTCTCTTGAAGTGTCGGAGTTGTTTCCTCGCCGAATAACGATGTTTCTTGCTCCTGTAGTAATATCGGCCCACTCAAGGTCTCGCCGGTAAAGAGGTCGTGATGCTCTCATTCTGCCATCCAGGTCCTTGAAGGTTCATTTGCGGGATTTTCGTCCGTATGGATTTATTGGATATTTTGCGATATCGCCGTAAAGTTTGCCAGCCCGACTTTGTGTAAGACTTGGGTGATTACGGTTTCTAGGGCTGAGACCTAGACCCCCCTTTTCTATAGGTGTAATACGCGACGGTTGAATCTGTGAAAATCATCGGCGCTTGGTTGTCCTTGTGGATTGCCATGATTGCGTTAATTCCAACCGTAAGGACTTTCTCACGTTAATATGTTCGACTGCGTGCTGACGTTGAAAAGGAGACACGCTTCTTGGAATGAAACCGACATATCATTGATCCCCCAGAAGGATATGCTAATGTGTGATCCGGATGCGTTGGTGTAGACTGGATTGCTTGCGTGATATCTTATGTTTAGTGGTTCCTTTATCGCGTTGATAATTGTAGCCGCCTTTTGGAACGCAAGATAGGTATCCACGACCGGTGTTAATGTGCCGCCATTCATTGTTATGTAGAAGGGAGAGAATAACCTCGATATTCCTGTTATTGTGCATCCGTAGTGGTTAACCACGCTCAGAACTTTTGCCGCCAGTAGGCACCCGATTTCTAGGTGTTGATATAGGCATGTCGTCTTAAGACTTCGAAACATTTCTCTAATCTTCTTTTTGTACCATTATCTGCGCTGATGGTTTACCCCGAGGTATGTGATGCGAAGTGTTGGGTCGAGAAAGGACATTTCTTGTCCAAGCCCCATCCTTCTAAGGTGCATCTTAGTGACCTGGTGGACCACTTCACGTCACCTTCATTGTCCCGTAGATGAGTATGTCATCCAGTTATACGTTGTAGTGGGCTCGTCTCACCGTTTTCGCACATATGTCGAGAATGAGGGACTGTAGATAGTAAGGGGTGAAGGACGCGCCCATCGGTAGTACTTTGTATGCAAAGCTGGTCCCGCCAATGGAAAAATCAAAGAATTTGCGAACTTATAGTGCTAGCGGGACGGAAAAGAATGCAGACTTTATATCTATTTTGCATGCATATTTAGCCTTCTAGAGATTTCCGGACATTAGTGGTATCGACTTTAGGCGGAATGGGTAGTGTAAGAAGCTTTTGGAAATCTCGGAAAAATCGCTAATGACCCTAGGGATTTCGTTTGGCTTGGAGATAACATAGAGTGGGGAACAAATCGGATCAGAGTCAGTGACTTCGAATATGTCGGCTTCCAACATTTGTCTGACGATGTCGGCGTATCTGTTAAATATAGGGAAATTGTTATGGTGGCTGAAGTACCGGTTGTTCTCCGCGATTTTAAGTTGGTCTAACCTTGGTCGTAACCTCCTCGATGCTACTTTCCTGTAAACCTGGACATGAGCGGCCCTGGCGTTAATCTCGCTCTGTGATATCCAGGGTTGGCAATGAGCTGAGCTGTTTGTCTGTGAAGGTCGAGTGCGTGTTATCATTACCGATACCGTTGAG